GAAAAAGCATTCCTCTCTTTAATGAGACACCACATCTTAAAAAGAAAAAGGAAATGGCTCTTCCACTTGGTCTCAGGTTTCCTTCTCCATCCGTAGCATGCAGCTGTTAGCCTCCCAAATTAACTGCTTCCCTTGTAAGATGAGCTCAATAACAGCCTTGTATTTAGCACCACTGTGCAATAAACTATGCTAGCTTTTCTCTGTAGCTTCCCTGTTACCCCAGCAAAGAAGAGTGTTTGAAATAGAAGCTCTGGAAATGCAGAAAAACTGTTTAAGGCTATACATAAGACGGAATAGACAGTAGCTGTTCAGAGAGTGGTATTTAGCTCTGCCATTGCCTATGGCCCATGTGTTCATCTTTCCTGCCCCATTGCAGTCTTTGTTCAAACCATTTTCCAGGTATTTTAAGCCATAACATATAAAGAACTACCTTCTAGCTTCAGAACTGGCAGAGCTCTCTAATATACATGGGCACCTATTGGACAGTGCCTACTGTGACATAACCCTTATCCCAGATTTCATTGCATTGTATTTTCTTTCTCAACATATTCAAGAATCTTTATTATATTTTCTGGTTTCCTTTGGGAGTACAACTGTCTAGATCAGGAGCTGCAGGAAATCCAATCCAATCAATTTTATCATTCCATTGATCTGCATAATGTAGTGGAAATAGCTGCATATAGTAAACAGAAAAGTTTGCCTACACTTGGCTTTCCCTTATTGAATATGCACAGCTGTCAACCTGCTACTGATAGACCAGAGCTGGATAGTCACTCCTATTTCTGCTATAAACCACTGCTAATATTTAACATCAGCTGGCATTAGAGGAATGCTAGGTAGAAGTGTTTTTATCATGAGTGGTACTCAGTCCTTTTAATGGAATAGCAAAGCTTAGGTTTGAGAAGCTGTTGACTTGCAAGACTTGTTGCACCAATCTAGTAAATACAGGCGACTTCACTGTACTGTTTTTGATGCCCGCTAAAAACATTTTTGTTCAGACAAGCCTAGTCAGACATGTTATTTGATTATGTATGTTTTTAAAATGGATAACTTCAGCTACATTTTGATAATTTGATAATTCCTTTATGTCTATGTGTGTTTTATGTGTTGACTTTATTGGGATTTTCTTATGAATATGTTATATAAACTGCTTAGAGTTTTTTATTTATTTAAGCAGTATATAAATATAGTTAAATAAATTGGAGGACCCATTTTGCACTAAAAAGTTTGTTGACAAAAGTGGCTATACATTACATAAAAATAGATGAATTTCATTGATCGCTAAATCAGATTTGCATTTGTAATGTATATTTGTCTGGCTGCCTTTGAAAACTTGCTCCAGAATTGCTTTTTCCTTGTGGGTAAGTATGCTATTGCAATTTAAGGATAGGACCTAGGAGTCCCCACTGACAGTTTAGACAATTCAGCTGCTCAGCAGTTTAGTTTTTGTGCTTCAGTCATCTGTGGGATTGCAGTAATCCAGTTTATAAAGTTATTGGTCTTGTAAATATAAGCCATGCTTCCACAGACCTTTATGATCTCAGATACAAGCTTACTGGAGATCAAAAATAATGCATCTATCTTGCGTAATTATTGTCCTAGGCACCAAACCAACATGTAGCAAATAGCACTGGTCAAGGTCACTTGACTGTTTGCAGAACGCTTGTCAGTGATAAATGCTTAATATATCAATTCCTGCTGTGGTTAAAAGAGTACTGGTTGTCTTAGATAGCCTCAGTTCCCACGCAGTGAATAGCAAACTGTGGACATCTTGTCACTTTGAGTGATAAATAGGTTGCTTCTTTCTTGAAATAAGCCATATTCTCTCTGTTGTCATTTTCAGTGGGGCAGTTTTGCACTGTCATTGCTGAAGGAGTATCTTCATACTCTCCCTGGCTCCTTTTTTAAATTATCAAATATGCTAAGCTATTTGCTAGGCAGAAAATATCCTTAGAAGCCCTTTGGCAACCTCAATAAGGATGCTGCAATAAAAGTCTGAAATAGTTCTTCCTTGCTTTGGATTTTTCCTCTCAGCCAGGAATTATACTGCTCAGGACAGCATGGGCAACAGTGTGTGCTTATTTTTTAACCATGTTCAAATGCCACTCAGTAAGGAAAGTTCTCCAGTTGGCTTACAAAAACAGTATAGATCTGGACTTGTGAAACTTTCAGAACGTAAGAGGCTGTACTCACTGTGGCTGCCAGCCAGATGCCTATGAGAAGCCCGGCAGCGGGACTTCAGCACACAACAGCCCTTTTCCCACTTGTGATTCCCAGCAAGTGGCTTCTGGCTGTGGAGATGTAACATAGTTGTTGTGGCTGGTACCATTGCTAGCCTCTTCACTGACAGTCTGGACATTAAAACCTGATGCGGACTTTCAGCATGAGCATAGGGAGAATGGTGCTTCTGTCTCCCTTGGCACATGGGGAAGAACAGCAACCCAGGGGGCCCTACACATCCATATGAAAATTGTGTAATTGGAACATCATGTAAAAATGTAGCATACCAAGTACGTGGTTCACATCTATGTGTGGAAGTCCCTGTGTGGAATGCGTAGTAGACTTTGGGGGTTGTGAGGGGGGCTGGAACTGGCATGATCCCACCCACCCCACGCCCTGACCCTGTATAGGGCTGGCTTCAGTGCCAGGAATAGCACGATCATGGGAAGAAGCAGAATGTGGAGAGGTGTTGAGCTATTGGTATTTACCTTCTTTCTTTTTTGGTCATACGCTACTTTCCTTATCTATTTTTCTTTCTTTTCTGAAGCTGTTGTTTGCCCTATAGGACAAACATAGAGGTTCCTATATAATGCCTGCATGTTTCCTCCTTTGGGACAAAAAGCACTGAAGTGGGATTTAGTCAGAGTGGGGCAAATGCATAGAGCATCTTTGTCAATGTTGGGTCTAACAAGTAAAGAAGAAAGGGTATCAAGGTTAAAGCAGCCCAGTGTTAGGATAATTAAGATGACAGCTTTTAATTGTGAAGTGCCTTCCGTGCTTGTTATGGCAGAATGCTAGACTACTAATCTGAAAAATAAAGGAGTAAATACAGATCGGTAATACCTAAAATTCTTTAAATTATAGAAATATTGGTGCAAAAAAAGGGAGATGACTAGTGGAGAGTGATTCCTGCATGGATCATACAGAACTACTGAAGTGTGTGACTTTCCTTCATCTTGTTATGAATTTTTACATGCACCCATATGCTAGTGGGAGCTGGGGCTGAATAACCTAGAATGGTCTGTTGGGAAGAGATGGGACCTAAACCCAAAACAATGTTATGTGCACTGGAAAATCTTAACTGTTCTTACTAGTCCAAGAAATACTTTCCCCGCATGAAACTGCAGTTGTTTGCAGCCGAAAGTACGTGTGACAAAGTATCCTATTGTTGGTCCCTGCTTCCAATGCCTATAAAGTTTCCAGGACATCTGTAGTTTGACAGGATGGATATACCCCTTAATATACAAACACAGTAAGTGAATGAAAAGAGTGGAATCCAGCTGGATGTGCTACGAAGATTGATGTTGCAGCTGTATGAAGCCCAGCAGTTGTTGCAGCAAAACAGTGAACAATTAGGTTAATTTTGAACAAATGTGAAAGATTACTGTGCACATTGTATTGTCCACCACAAGTGGAACAGTGTGCCTTTTGTTGTTTCAGAGGAGGCGCTGAGGATAAGAACATGTCCTTCTATATATGTGTATATCAATTTTGAACCAGTCGTTGTTTAGGCACTGCATGAGGCAATCTGGGCTAGTGGTGCAGCAATAAAACCGCTAGCATATTTACAAGGGGTTGGACGAGATGATCCTCACAGTCCCTTTCTGTCTCTGCAATTCTATGATTCCATGAACCATAAGTATAGGAATTAAACAGCTGGCAGAGCACATATAAGCAGATACAGCTTGCTTATTGGCAGCTTGTCATATCTGCAATTCTTTCATTAGTGTGTTTAAAAGCCTTGAAAAATTGCAGAACTTTGGTGACTGTACTATTTTTCCAACAAAATGCTGTGGTCTGAAATATGTTCTTCTTCTGCAGTAAAAGTTCCGTTTTAAAAAGTGAAACTGTAACACTTACATGAGTTGTTTACTGAAAATATGGTTTCAGATATAGGACAGGATCTAGTCCTATAACTAGAAGGAATGATTGATGTTTTTCTACATCTGTGTGTCTAAAAGGTTTTGTTCTGGAGAAGTCCAAAAGTCTTATGACATGCTTATCAGAAACACAGAAAGACACAAATTTAACATATTTCAATCTGCATTAAAAGAAAAGTGCATACTATGGAATTCCTTTCATCTTCAAAATAGGGACTGGATGTCTTGAGAGCCAAATTTATATTGGAGGTCATTATAGCATTCCCTTTAGAGTGAATTGAACCAGTCCTGTTCATTCAGCATGTTTGATTTCTGAAACAGAATTTCCTGTTCCAAACCGATACGCTGTGCCTCAGTTCATCCTTTCACTGCTTATAAAATATTAAAAACCATCATTCTTGTCCCCTCTGCTTGTTACTTCTGTGTCATTCTGGATAGTATTCTATTTAGTTCGCTTTGTAAAATCTCACCCTTTTCTGTCCTTCTCTCATCTGGAGACTAACATACAACTGATTCCATTTCTAAATAGCTAGTGTCCCATTGATCTTGAAAGTACTAAAGGATGCCATTTCTTGTATATATATAAAAAGCATTGCGACACTGACAATTGCAGTCAAATTACAAACCCACCACTTAAGTTGATTAGTTTCTACTAATCAATGTCCTAGATCCAGTAACATGTTCTGAAAAATCTAAATTTAATTAATGGAATTTAATGTGCAGTGGGGATGAGTATACCCACAAATTATATATGTGTAGCACCTGATCTTTCCAAGGTCCAAATTTAATGGAGGCAAAATTCCAGCCTTAATGGAGCTGAACTTTATGGATGGTAGAGAGAAGTATGAAATAATTCAGACCAAGCAAACCTTTATATTTTATTTCAGTTTCCAAGGTGGATGCAAATTGCCACAAGCAAAGTGGTCATTGCTTAACAGTTTTCCATGTGGCATCTATATCCTTCAACCATTTGGTTTTTAGCCAGCATTACCATCCCTCTGCACTTTTAAGGAAGCTTTGAAGTGACTCTTATCCAGTCTTCTGAATCCATCTCCAGAGTCTCCGTTTCGCAATGGAGAACTTGCCTTTGTGCACCTGAGACATAATCAATAAATGTTAACATATGTCAACTAACCATTCTTTAGCATCTGCCAGGTTTATTAATATGATACCTAGATTATGCTGTGGCACATGAAAATTAGACACAGCCTTCCAGCATGTTTAAGCATCCCTGCTGCACCTTTAGGACTGATCCTATCCCTGCCACACAACCCCGCTCCATGTACCATCAGAATCACTAACAACTGCTTTGGGTTTGAAGGTAATTCTGTTCTTTATTTTTCTGGTTCAAACTCCAGGAAAAAATAAAGCTTGATGCTCAGAGGGAAAAACTAGAAAAGCTTCAGGAGCTTTATACCGAGCAGAAGACACAGCTTGATAATTGCCCTGAGTCCATGCGGGAACAATTGCAACAGCAGCTAAACAGGGTCAGTAGCATGGATTCCTCTATTTTTGTGTGGAAGCACAAGTGTTGAAAGACGACTTGCTGACTGCCTCTCATCTCAAGGGTTTACTGGTTTTCTGCACTGCTAACAGGATTGTTGCATGGTGATGAATAAACAGAATGCGAAGGGCTGGATTAAAAATTGGTTTGTGATACATACTTTAGAAGTTGCCAACCAGTTAATGTTTAGCACCCTTTGGCTGTTGGCAAATCAGAGTTGTGTGTGCCTGTGTTTGTGTACTTGTGATGTTTAGTTGAGCTTTAGGGTAATTTGCTGTAAGCGTGTTGGATAAATTCTTGAGTCTAATAACTGCACTTAGCTATCTAATTTTAGCCCTCATTATGTTTGCAGTTGCTTTTAAGTTTACCTTTGCCACCACTATGAAATTCTTTCCTCCTTCAAAGTTGTTTCTTACCTATATGAAATCTGTTTTTTTAAAAAAATCTTTATTAAATTTCAAGAAAAAAAGAAAAGAAAAATCACCGTTGCCGTAGATGCTGTTTCAAAATTATAGCTAGGCGACTATACAGGTTTACCCACCCACATTCAGTGGGCTTTCTTTTGTTTTGTTTTGGGGAAATTAACCCCCCACAGTATTGAGACATGGAAGCGTTCTTGGGACAGTGAGAAAGAATAAGCTAGAATACAATGCCAGAAGAAATTCCAGTTCAGACGCATTCTTAGTGTAAAACATTACACTTTCACCCCCATGTTGAATAAAACAATTCTAAATGGAAATTAGCTACATATTCAAGGCATGCTGCTTGGCATATTAAGTGTTTCTTTATGGAGTTCTGCTAACACCATAGATTACAGGTGATGACATGTGGTCCTTCAGATGTTGTTAGACACCAACATCTACCCCCAGTCAGCATGACCAATACTCACAGAAGATGTGAATTGTGGTCCCGCTACAGCCTCCCCATCCTTGCCATAGACAGAGAATTCTGTCCTTCAACAGCTTCGCTTGCCATATTGTTGCAAAAGAACACTCATCTATTTATCCAGGATTTGGTTCACCGTTATGAGACACTTGGGTGATGACTATTCATAGACCGAAACAAGATTTCTTTCCCAATCTTCCATTTATATTCGGTTCCCCTTTTTGTTATGGAACCTGCTTTCTTGAACTAAGGGAGACCAGAGTTTTAAACAGCATCTCCTGAATTTCCCAGTTCATTACGTGGAATTCTGTATAAATTTCACTTGACTTTTTAATGCTAAAGTAGCTTTTGGAGGTTACAGTGGTGGAAGGGGATGTGGGGGAGAGCTGCATACTATCTTTCCATCCATCTGCTTTTCATCCAACTTAAACTTGGTCATCGATGAATGGCAAGAGGCACAAAACTAGCATCCCTGGAGAATGAGGTAAGAGGGAAGGGAGGTCAAGCCTGCTGGATGTTCCTTTCCTTGCTTCTTAACTCTTTTTATCCTTACATCTGCATCGTTCTAGATCATCTCTTTGTTGTGCTGAACTGTGACCAAAAGATCATTACATGGGTGGGGCACTCAGATTGATCTGCTATTCAATATCACGAATTGATTTGAGGATATACATGATCCAGTCAACAGTTCGAAAAACAATGTAAATGTCATAAATAGCTGTTATTCGTCTTCTTTTTTAAAGGTCTTAGAGTGTGATCTTATGCTCACTGACTTGAACTTCCTGAGCCTTATTTTTGTTTGCAATGGTGCTGCATGCCTACTTTCGCTAATGATATACAACTTTAAATATATATATATATATACACTGACTTTTGTTGTTAAAGGATGCTGACCTACTGGAAGTAGAAAGCAAACACTTTGAAGATCTGGAGTTTCAGCAGCTTGAAAATGAGAGCAGGTTAGATGAGGAGAAGGAGAACTTAACACAGCAGCTCCTGCGCGAGGTGGCTGAATATCAACGCAACATTGTCAGTAGAAAGGTAAAATTGCTTTAAAAATAAAGTAGGTAATATCATTGCTTTTTTGTGGTTTGGTTCCATTTCGTGAGATCAACATCTCTGGCCAATTACTGGCCAATTCAGTAATGGATTCATGTTCCAATTGATGTTGAAAAATGTAAATACTATTCATAGGACAGTGAAGATTCACAAAATGTGGTTGAACAAGTTCGTCTGTTTACAGAGCAATCCTAAACACATGTACGGAGGCTTACATTCTTGTGGAACTGCTTCCTTCAAGGCCTGAATACTGGGAAATTCATGCAGTCTTTCCTTTTTGAAATATGTGGTGTAGTGGTTAAGAGCGGTAGACTCGTAATCTGGTGAACCGGGTTCGCTTCCCCGCTCCTCCACATGCAGCTGCTGGGTGACCTTGGGCCAGTCACACTTCTCTGAAGTCTCTCAGCCTCACTCACCTCACAGAGTGTTTCTTGTGGGGGAAGAAGGGAAAGGAGAATGTTAGCTGCTTTGAGACTCCTTCGGGTTGTGATAAAGCAGGATATCAAATCCAAACTCGTCTTCTTCTTCTTCTTCTTCTACCACAAAGTGATCTGATTTGCTTTGGGTTGTTCCAGTTCAGGAAAAGTAAAGGTTTCCACTAGTTTTCAGCTCAGATTAATTTAGATTCTGCAATTAAAACTAGCATCCATCCTCAATGTGCTTTCATTTGTGTTTCTTGATTGAGTACATCTGCACCAGCTAATGTTGTAATCAACACTGCAAGTTAACATTTATATATATTGTTTGGGAAAATGGCCGTTGTATGAAACATACGCAACAACAAGAACTACAGCCAAGAGTTACTGGTGCAGAAGTGTCTTGAGTTTCCTTCCTGGGACTGTCTTCCTGATCAACAGGATCAGTAGTGCATACATTATACTCCCAAGCTCATATTGACTATGTTTTGGTGCTATCTTTGTCATAGGAAAAAATTTCTGCCCTCAAAAAACAAGCCAATCATATTGTCCAGCAGGCGCAAAGAGAACAAGATCACTTTGTGAAAGAGAAGAATAACCTCCTAATGATGTTGCAGAGGGTAAGCATTTTTCCTTGATTCAAAGACAGCAACATTATTGAAAGAGAAGTTGCTGAATTACAACTTATTACTAAACTGAAAACTATGGAGACGCCTGGTCTGAATAGAAATATTGGATTCTTGTCTCATTACACATGCTAAAGCTATTTTTGGTCATCTGCACACTATCCCTTGCTTTTTCCTGTAGGACTAATTGCAGTCATTAATAGTCATCAACAGGTTTACCATACCCATTGAGTCAACCACCCATCTCCAACTACCCTTCTGGGAAAAACCCCACCCCACCCTCCCACTATATATAAGGGTCTGGTGACTTCTCTTTCAGTGTATCTTGAAGAAGTGTGCATGTACATGAAAGCTTATTCCCAGAATTAACTTAGTTTGTCTCTAAGGTGCTACTGGACGGTTTTTTAATTTTTTATTTCGACTGTGTCAGACCAACACGGCTACCTACCTGAATCTAGCAACATCATTGTACAGCTACAATTATCGGAATATTTCCTTGACAATTGCTCTAAACTGTGCTGTCATTTTGCAGAATGTTTACTAAATGGAATTGATGCCATTCTGTTGTGGGTGTCATCCCTGTTTGTACAGGTGATTTCACAAGCCCTTGGACATGGCTCACTCAGGATTCCAGGCGCATAAACACAACCCACATGTGCATGTTATCCATCCATATTTTATGTGCTTGCCATAGGAAATACTGGTCAACACATGCCAAAAACCAAGATGCTTGTCAAGCTACCCTAAATACATGGCGAGATAACTGTATACTGGGATATGATTTGATGATGGGGGGGGGGTTGAAAGGAATGAACAGAGATACAATGCAATTTACTTGTGAACAATTCCAAACAGAGGCTGATATCCAAAGTGAGTATACTCAAGAGTAGACCCATTGAAATGAACGGCTTCAGTTATTTAAGACATTGGGTTGCAGTCAAAGCTAATCCTATTCTGAGTAATCCCATTAAAATTAATGAAGATGACAAAATTGGGTCCATTAATTTCAATGGGTCTCCATGACCTACTTGAGTATCACCCAGAAACATTTGTTCATCACTTCATTAATTTTTTTAGTCTAGTTTTGTTATTTCTGAAGAGTACAAACAAAGCCTGAGACTGTTTGTGATCCTCTGTGTGTGTTCTGTCATAGAAGTGACTGTCAACATTTGTATCTGAAATATAACTTATGTCTGCTAACAGGAGAAGGAGAACCTTTGTAATCTAGAAAAGAAATACTCTTCACTATCGGGAGGAAAAGGCTTCCCCCTAAGTCCCAGCAGTCTAAAAGAGGTAAAAATGTGAAACGTGGGAGAAGGAAAGAGAAAGCAATTACTGTTCTCTGTATTATATTTAGAGCTGCACATTTTATAATATTCAGTGTGAAATGACGTGTGGTCCAGTCTCCTTTGTGTGTAAATGGTTTGCATATATGTTTTTAAAGATAGTTTAGCCATGCAGGATTTATATAAAATTTGACATAATTGTATCCCTCTTTGTCGTGTTTGGGGTTTGGAGTTGTTTTTGTATATGTCTGTAAATAAGCATCTATTGTGCTTTTCCCAGTATCCATAGAGGCACATGTCCTTGTGTCTACTTTATGATGGCGTGGTATTCTTGTGTTGAAAATAATTACCAAAACGACTCCTTCTAGTGTGCACATGCAAACATAGTGGTCTCACCCTTCATACAAAATGAAAATAATGAAAACTAAGTCCTACAGATATAATAAGTGTTTTTCTGAAGCCATTCTAATACCTTCCAAAATATAGTTCCTCAAAACCAGAGTTAAATGTCCAGATATTTCCATCTGTTCCAGAGTATTTCGCCCCAGATCAATCATTCATTTCTAGACTATATGAAAAATTGTGGCAGTGTATTCTTGCAAGAGTACTTTCAGGGACTAAATTCAGTTAGGATTTTTAGAAAGCACATTCTCTTCCAATATATCTTCCTGCAGCTTGCTTTTGCCTAAAACCCCTCTGCTGCTTTTGCTACTGCTGCTGCTAATGAAATCCTAGACTTATTTATACTTTTAACAGAGAACTGCAGCTACTCTGATGACCTTAACGAAACCCTAGCTGATGAATGTGTCCCTAAATTATTAAATTGTCAGTAATCTATTTTGATATTAACCAAAAAAAAGTGAAATTTGCAGGGAGGGTGTTGCTTAGGACCAACAAAAACCTGCATCTAATTGCAGTATAGTAACTCACTGAAATGGACTGGAATAAAGGCAGCCTCCCTTTGGCAGAGATTCATGCTCTTAAATGATTTTTACAATTCCTTTGGAAATTTTCTTTTTCTCCCCCCCCGCCCCCATCCTCCGGCACACCGATAGTTTGTAAACTGTGCTGGGAGCCAATTTTTCAAAAACATCTTCTGTTGAAGAACTGCCCTCCCATGGTTGTAGATCATAAAGCTACCACATTGTAATCTGTGGTACATGAAATAGCCACATGAGGGGCAATAGTGGGAGCTACCTTTGAAATCTAGCAGTATTTTTACATTTAAACGTATTGAACCAAACGTATTAAGTTATAATGGTTCTACCTCATTATGAAAACCACTTCAGATATAATGATAACAATTTTGTTTACAGTAAGTTAAAGCATTCAGATTTTCAGTGCTTGTAATTTTGATGATTTTTAAAAAAATATTTTAATGAAGCTTTTTTGTAATACCACAGAAATTGGCTGGATCACTCTAAACTAACTTTCACAGCACACTGGGAACCTTAATACTCTTGCATGCAGTTTAGCTTGTGCTTCTTCTTATTTTTAACTTCTGAATTCCTCCCTTTAGGGTTATGTGAGTGTAAATGACATTAGTGAGCCGTATGGCAATTCCACGAATATATCCCCTTCCACTCAAGCCCCCACGGCTGCTGAGGCTGTTCCTTCCACAGCTGGCCTGATGAGCCAGACACAAAATAAAGAGGTTTGTTCTGAGAGACATTTCCCGTTTGTATGCATTTTGCTTGCAACGTTCTGTTCCCTTGGTTTTTGCAGGTTCCTGGTAAAACTGCATATATCCAATTTAAAAGAGAGCTAAATTTAGTTTTATACCTAGAGTCTGTTTCAGGGAGAAAACTCAGGTTTAAGACTTGGGGCCATCTAAACATCTCCACACCTTGGGAAGAATACTGCAACTGAACCAGGAGCTCTATACAGTCGTACCTTGGAAGTTGAACGGAATCCGTTCTGGAAGCCGTTTGACTTCCAAAATGTTTGGAAACCCAAATGCGGCTTCTGATTGGCTGCAGGAAGCGCCTGCAGCCAATCAGAAGCTGTGGAAGCCCCATCGGATGTTTGGCTTCCAAAAATAGTTCGCAAACCGGAACAGCCACTTCTGGGTTTGTGGTGTTCAGGAGCTAAAACGTTCGAGAACTAAGCTGTTCGAAAACCAAGGTACAACTGTACAGTGTTCATTTGCAGATGGCCTTCCATTAACCACACAACACTGTGAAACCACACACACAAACCTTTGTTTCCAGGGATAACAGTAATGTCAGGAAGATTCACATTCACATTCAGATAAGGCCCAGTTAACTAATTACTTTCTCTTCAGTAAGGGGAAAGGATGTTTCAGAGGTATACCAGGCTGAAATAAGGGACAAGCCTTTGAAAAGGAGGTATATTACTGATCCCCAAAATTTGGGTTCTCCTCCAAACCTGTGCCAATGTTTTGCAACGAACCCCACCCCTTTTCTTCAGCACTGCCCAAGCTGAGTAATTGATACTTCAAACCCTGAAAAGGTACATTGACATTGTACAGTCAGCTTTTTAGAGAGCTGAAAATCATATGGCATTCGGACAACAGACCAAGTACTTGGGTATGACTTCTGTGGAATGAGGTTTAAACCACATAAATTTGGTTTTACTAAATTGTGGAGTTCACTCAAACATCACTTGGTGGAATTTAACATTGTGAGTGTAGAATGTTTTACGCTCTTTATGTCCCGTTAATTTATACAAATTTAAGTATATCCCTAGATGGTATTTTCTTCAGACTGTTCCCTGGTTGCTTTCCCAGCTGTTTCCTGTGACTGTGTGAGGGGTGGGGGAGAAGCACCTTTTTAGCTATGAAAAGAAGTAATTCCATATCCAGAAATATTTAACTACTGCCATAAATAATACATACATAATGTGTACATTAGCTGCAGGAATTGAGCCTGGTATATCTAATTTTAATCTAAACACTTTAGCCACAAAAGCAGTTAAATCTGTAAAAACATGTGTTTTTCATTTCACCATCAGCATTCATACATTTTATTGCTTTGGTTTGGATAGCCCCAGATCTGCTTTCACCTAGTAGAATGCTGCAAGCCCTTAAGTAAACTCCTTCGACAGAAAATGCCACTTGCCTGCTTTCTCTGCACCTGCCTGTTATCACCTGTGGGTTGCACCTCATGCTTCCCATCACGTAGGCTGATGAAGCAAGTCCAGATGTTGTTGAAGCAAGCCCAGATTCCCCAGATGTTGTTGAACTACATCCAACATCATACCCAGGCAGCATGGCTAGTGGTCAAGGGTGTTGATAGTTGTAGTCCAACAACATCTGGGGACACAGGGTTGGAACAGGCTGCTTTGTACTACCATAAAATGCTTCTCTCTGTATTGCTGTCAGCTTGTGTGTCATCCTGTTTAGAAGCCTCTGAACGTAATTTCTCTCTTTCCTATAAAGCTAAGATCGCCTCTCTGTTCTGGATTTGTGTTTCCTCATTCCCTTTCTCCTCGCCCTCTTGCACAACTTTCACCAGCCCACTGGTCTGAGGTCAGGGCTGCAAATGTAGAGCCTTTTCCTTTGCCCGACACACCACCACCTCTTCCAGCTAAGAAACACCGAAGGCAGTCACAGGTAACCTGCCTGAAGGCTGACTGCCTTGATAACCATGTAATTATTTTTTGCACGGACTTTTCTGCTTCAGTCTGAGGGAGTGCATGCAAAACAGGCAGCCATAAAATCCTGCCAACCAATCAGGTGTTGGAAGGGAGTGAGGAGGGTGCGCACGTGGGGGGGGGGGGCTGAATTCAGCACCACATTCCCTTTCCATTACAGTTGATGGGTGGAATTCTAACATTTTCTGAAAGACTTTGCATGCACAGCTCCCCCAGGTGCCTTTTTTTACACGTGCATAGTGCCCTGAGCTGTGTCACAGTGTTCATCTCACAGTTTCTAGGTCAAAATAGCAGAGTTCAGTGCCTAAGGGGGGAGAGACCCACTTACAATCTGTTCTTGCTTCTGTGGGCATCAGGAGTTATTTGAATATCTGTATAAGGTTTTTAAAAGTTATCCGCGTCTTCCTGATGTTTGCCAGCTGATATTTTCTGTTAACGAGAGCCGCACAGTAAAATATATTAACAGTGAAATGTTTTATTCAGCAACTTGGTCTTGTATTTATGGCATGTAGAAATACTACAGCTGTTGCTTCAGAAATCTCAACTGAGAGAGGCATTTGCAATCAATAGTTTACAACAGTAGGAATGCCAGTGATAGATCAAGTTTAAAACATTTATTTTAATAGAACAGGAGTTGCTTATTTTCTTTCAGTACTGTGTAAGGCTTAAGCTTCTAAAAAGTAGTATTAGCCAGTTTGAGATCATACTAAACTGAAACTGCAGGACAATTAGTTGGATCCAAACCTAGCACTCTGATCATGGAAGAAATCTGTGGACGCAGAGAGCCTTTCTAGAAGTGGAACCTTCCTTCATGAGTGGAGCATTGTTCGGATGAAACACATAATATACGAGATGGAAACCTGTAACATCCAAATTTTCTTATTTATGAAATTTGTATACCACCCTTGATCCATAGATCTCTGGGCAGTACACAGCATAAAAATACAATATAGAAACACAAAATACATAATAAAAACAGTAACAACAAAACAATCCCTACATCCCCCCTCACTTTTCCCCAAACATATTTAAAAGGATATAGGATGTCAGTCAGCCAAAGGCCTGGTTGAAGAGGAGTGTTTTCACCTGGCAGCTAAAGGTGTATAAGGCTGCAGGCTCCCTTTGTGGGATTAAATCAGATTTGTTTTAAGGAAGCCTGATGGCCTGTATAAAGCTGTGTATTTTTTTTTAAAAAAAACTACTATGAATCAAATCACAATGCCACAATTAGACCAAATAACATTGTTCTTTTGTTGGCATTATGTATCATTTCTGTAACATTGTTTCATGTCCAATGTGCTTAATCTTTTTACCTTAGTGAAAATGTCACAGTAACTTTTGGTGATTTTTAACCATCCTAAAATGGGACAGCAAATTCACGATCAGTAAGATTTGTATCCAGTGTCCTATTCAGAACACAAGAGGGCACAAACTCTGCATAAGAACATAAAAAGAGGCTGCAGGATCAGGCCAATGGCCCATCTAGTCCAGCATCCTGTTCCCACAGTGGCCAATTTGGGGTGGCCATGAGCATGGGGCTGTACATGCTTGTCCTGTCTGCAACACTCTACTGTTCCATCATGAGCAGAAATATCTGAGAGACTATTCTAGGTGCCCTTGTTCGAACATAGAATCCTACATACAGCTGGAAGCCTTGATTGTGCAGGGCTCCCAATCACAGGGAAGAGTCTAAGCACTCAGTCAAACACACTTAGAATCCCCCTACAGAGTTTTCATCTCAATGCATGAAGGTTGATGTTAGGGCAGGAGTAGTGCACATGCCCCCTTCCTACTCCTTAGTTTCTGCCCTGCCAAATGATTCGAAAATCTCCTTCAGTTTCATTGAAACTTCTCCAGGGAATCTTCCTTGTAATTTAATTATATTAAATCACCCTTGGAATTTTTTTTAAGGCACTCTTCATTTAAATCTGTAAAACTGTAAAACATTTCTCTTTTTGGTTTGTGTGTGTGCTGTAATTCCTATGCACTTAAGAATTTTTAAACAGAGAAACTCTCCCCTACTGGCTTTTCCTTGTCCTGTTTTGGGCTGTGTTTTCAAACAGCATTTAGGTTTGTTTGTTTGTTTGTTTGTTTAAGAACTGCACCTTGTTTAACGCCAACATTTACAGCCTGCAGGCTCCCATATGATCACACTGCAATTTCATATTTTTAAGCACTTCCGAAATCTGGAAGAGAGGAAGAAGCAGCATAAAGAAGGCCCATACATGAGTGATACCTTGCCACGCAAGAAGCCAGCTCCCTCCGTGTCTCCCCATTTCAGCAGTTCTACTCTTGGAAGGAGTGTTAAGGTGATTATAGATTATAGATTATAATATCTAGGTTACAGAAGTATTTAGTTCATCAAAGACAAGCAGGAATTTAATTTCTCAATTTGCTTTAATTTTTGCATCCCGTTGTGTAGTCTGTGATTCCTTTTACTTTATTCCTGTTTTACTTCTTTGTTATTTCTTACCCTTAATCTCTTTGTCTTAAATTGAGCATCCTGGATTCTTTTGATTGTACTGCAGTGTGACTGGGTGTGCTGACTGAAATGAGCAGAAACAGTTTTCAGCTTAGGCAAAGCCACCATTGGACTGCATGGATGGCTGATATTTGTGAATGCTAATCACTATTGTTTTATGCAGGGTCATCCACCACTTGGACAGAGCAACAGCTGTGGCAGCGTACTCCCTCATTGTTTGGGAACTATGACCAAAGAGTCTGAACCAAGGAGGGTGCATAAAGGTAAGGCTGTTTAAAAATTATCCCCATACACTGCAACACAATGCCATTGAAAAGGAAATCCCATTTCACACTAATCAGTTTTTATTTTTAATTTGATAAGTGGAAAATGCATTCATTCAGCTGCAATGCTTTTTTGAGTCTTAGATTAATTAAGTTTTCTTAATATAATTATTGATTGCACACCAAAATGGGAACCACTCTGTTCTTGCATAAGTGTGTGCATAATACTCTCAACAAGTGGGCAATATCTTTCCCAGTGCAACCTTATTTGCGTCTGCTCAGAAGGAAGCCCCCTTGAATACAGTAGGACTTGGAATATGCTGGGGATTGGCCTGTGTATAGAATTATAGCTTTAGACTGATTAAAAGCCAGGCGCCCTGTTTAGAAAATGGATAATCCCGTGAAACTTCATGGTTCTTGATCCTGCATGTTATTCTGACTGGTCCTTGAGCATACCAGCCTTCCAGAGCCTGATGTTCTTACCTAAGATGTGTTTGTTCAGTCTATTGTGTGGGAGGATTTGTGCATATCCAGTCCCTGTGCACTACAATGTGCACATTATATAATGCATTTATATTGCATAATATAAAGCAATTTAAAGTGACAGCTTGGACCTTAAATACCTTTTCCTTCATTACGACTGGTCCATTAGACGCCCCAAAATGCTTGTATAGTCGTACCTTGGAAGTCGAACGGAATCCGTTCCAGAAGCCCATTCGACTTCCAAAACGTTTGGAAACCAAAGCGTGGCTTCTGATTGCAGCGTTTGGGAGCCAAAATGTTTGAGAACTAAGCTGTTTTAAAACCAAGGTATAACTGTAGTAACTTCTTCTTTCTTGATGCTTAAGATAACTACTGCAGTACTTGTGTTGAGTCTTAATGAGTCTTCATTTGACATTAATTACTTACTACAGAAACTATTGGCTAAGCAAAGTTTTATGAGTTGGTGACTAATTAATATTTGGACTAACCCTGATGATCTTAGACTCCAACTCCCATCAGCCTCAGCTGGCAGAACCAATGGTCAGGGACGATGGCAGCTGTATTCCAATAGCAACTGGAGCCGCTGTTTCCCCATCCCTGAACTAAACCATTAATGGAGAAAACCTGTTTCTTAGCTGTGAATCTTCTGCAACCATTCAGATGATTGCAGCATTACTACTATGCTAATACACATTAAAGGGACTTAAAGAGAACTACATAAAGGCAAATGGGACCTCATAACCTTAGAAGCCTTGATTTCTGCAGCTGCCTTTTTGTCTGTGGACTAAGGCAAGGCGAGTTGGGCTTTTCACATCTGCAGTAGTAATCAAGAAGCGTAATCCTAAACATGGAATTTATTCCTGGTAAATGCATGTAGGATTGCGACCGAGAAACTGATGAAGCTTAAAATTATTAAAAGTAATTCAGACTTTTAGATTGTGATGTGGTCTCCCAAGAGAGCTAGGTAACTTTTAAATTATTTCTTAGGGACTTACAACTGAAGCACATGCCCATTTATTTGAAATTAAGTTCAAATAGGACTGTAGCCCAGAATAAACTGTACTAAATAAAATTGTGCCCCAAGACATAGATTAGCCAGCTTATCTTTGCTATGTCGGCTCTCGATCCATTCCAGTCCGGCTTCCGCGCTGGTCATGGGACCGAGACGGCTCTGGTTGCCCTAACAGATGATCTCCGCAGGCAGCTGGATCGAGGCGGGTCGGGGCTGCTGATTCTCCTAGATCTGTCAGCAGCCTTCGACATGGTCGATCACGAACTCCTGGACACCCTGCCGCTGGATCCAGGGCACAGTCCTTCAATGGCTGCGCTCGTTTCTCTCTGGTCGGGGACAGAGGGTGGCACTTGGGGGGAATTGTCATCGCGCCACTCCTTGGTGTGTGGAGTGCCTCAGGGTGCGATTCTCTCCCCGATGCTTTTTAACATCTTTATGCGCCCCCTCGCCCAGCTTGTCCGGAGTTTTGGGCTGGGCTGCCATCAGTATGCCGATGACACCCAACTCTATCTGTTGATGGACGGCCACCCTGACTCGGCCCCAGATACACTGACCAGATGTCTGGAAGCTGTGGCTGGATGGCTACGTGGGAGCCGGTTGAAGTTAAATCCTTCGAAGACAGAGGTCCTTTGGCTGGGACGGAGCGATATGGGATTGAGGGGGCAACTCCCATCTCTTGCGGGGGTGCAATTAGTGCCAACATCATCCGTTAAGAGTTTGGGTGTAATCTTCGATACCTCCCTCTCTATGGAGGCGCAGATTACAGCTATAACAAAGGCGGCATTTTTTCATCTCCGCCAAGCTAAGCAGTTGGCTCCTTATCTCTCTCGCCCTGACCTAGCCACTGTGATCCACGCGACGGTCACCTCCAGACTGGACTATTGTAGCTCGCTCTACGTGGGGCTGCCCTTGAGACTGACCCAGAAACTCCAGCGGATGCAGAATGCCGCGGCAAGACTCATTATGGGGTCTTCGCTGCGAGATCATATCCATCCGGTATTATACCAGCTGCACTGGCTCCCGGTGGAGTACAGGATCAGGTTTAAGGTGCTGGTTTTAACCTTTAAAGCCCTATACGGCCTAGGACCCTCGTACCTACGGGACCGCCTCTCCTGGTATGTCCCACAGAGAAATCTATGGTCTGCAAATAAAAACATCCTAAAGATCCCAGGCCACAAAGAGGTTAGGCTGGCCTCAACTAGAGCCAGGGCCTTCTCGGTCGCGGCTCCAATCTGGTGGAACACTCTGTCACAAGAGACTAGGGCCCTGCAGGACCTGACATCCTTCCGCAGGGCCTGCAAGACAGAGCTGTTCCACCAGGCCTTTGGTCAGGGCGCAGCCTGACCCCCTCCTCTGGCAATCAGCAATCGGCACAGAATTTGGCTTGATGGTTGCCATTAATTTGATTTTAATTTGATTTAATTAATTTTATAATGAATGTTTTAGAATATCGGATTATTTTGATTGTTGTTAGCCGCCCTGAGCCCAGCTTCGGCTGGGGAGGGCGGGATATAAATAAAATTTATTATTATTATTATTATTATTATTATTATTATTATGTCTGCATTCTGTGCTTATAGCTCTTTTTAGCCTATCTAATTATTTTATCCTGCTTTTAAATGTCTATAGCATAACACTTTTTAATTTTTTTAATGTCTTATTTAAATCAGGAAAAGTCAGAAAAGGTATGAGGAATGTTCTTTGTGTGGCTGTATGTGTTTGCTTTTGTGGTTGTCACTGAAAAAAGGGACACCATCAAGTCATTCAGAACCAGCAAATGTGGAAATTCTAAAGTTCCTTTAATTTTTTTCTGGTGGTTGCGGTGATTTTTGTAGCTCCCTTCAGGCTACATTCATGTGCAAGCAGCCTGGCTTCTACCATTTTGTCTGCCTATCTATGTGATGGGGAAATGTCTGCAATGGAGAAGTCTGCTGCATGTATGAAGACTTGCATGATCTAGAACCCTGTGGAGTCAGGGATCCACATCACAGAGAGAGCTTAACTGCATTTTCAGCAAGCTTCCCCACTGCAGTCAATACCCTAACATGTGAATGGCAGGGGATGAGACAATGGAGACAGCATGGCTCCATGATCCCCATTATAAGATACAATCTCATGTTGGGAAACACCTGAAGAGGGCTTTAAAGAATGAATGTTTGAAAATAAACTTTGGCCACTGCTGCTGCTGCCAGCTTGCATTTGCAAATGAAACTTGAAATGAAACACAATAAAGGTTAACCATCTGATTCCTTCTGTACTGTCTAGTCTCAAATACAGTGGTGCCTTGCAAGACGAAAATAATCTGTTCCGCGAGTCTCTTCGTCTAGTGGTTTTTTCGTCTTGCGAAGCAACCCTATTAGTGGATTAGCGCTATTAGCGGTTTAGCGGCTATTAAAGGCTTAGTGGCTTAGTGGCTAAAAGGCTATTAGCGGCTTAGAAAAAGGGGGGGGAGCGAAAAAAATCGCAAGACTCGCAAGACGTTTTTGTCTTGCGAAGCAAGCCCATAGGGAAAATCGTCTTGCGAAGCAACTCAAAAACGGAAAACCCTTTCGTCTAGCGGGTTTTTCGTCTTGTGAGGCATTTGTCTTGCGGGGCACCACTGTATTTATTTTCATGCAATTCCTCTGCTGCTGACATATAAACCTGATGTTTCTTCAGTCTGGTTCATATGTCAGCAACAGAGGATTTGCATGAAAATAAATAAGAGAATACACAGATTCTAGATTCTGTTCACACACTTGGCAGTACAGCCACACCAACCCGTTTTAGAAAACGTGCTGACTCACAAAATTGTGTAGCATCTGCCCTTTTGTGCTGAAGGATGCAAAAAGATTATCGAGCATAATAAAGAAGCAGCAATGGAACAAAACATTGACGATAAAGTTGGACATCTCCATGTTTTCTGGGTTGGCAACTTCAGAAAGTTGTGACAAGTTATTTGTGTTTGCAGCACATAGGAGAACTAGACTGGTCTGTATAACACTGATCCAAAATAATAAAAAGGGGGTATTTAAAAGGATTTATGTTTACTTGACTGTGTTCCTTATTAAAAAACAAAACCTTTGAGATGAATAATTGTGATTTCAACACAGATTGTATTCAAAAAAGTTTTTATAATAACATTTAAATAACTTGCATTGCTTTTTTAAATTTATTTTTGTTTCTTTTCTGTATACTTCTAGTAATCTATTTTCCCCCTGTTTACCTCTAAAAACCTTTAACCCAGTTTGCTTTTCTATCAGATGTAGTCTTGCATGTCTTCCTGGATTAAAGCTAAACTAAACTGAATGCTGTAGTTTTCCTCTGGATTAATAACTTCAGATTTAGTAGAGTATCCTTGGTGCTTAAGTGTCTGCAGCACTCCTAAACAGCTAAATGCTGTTGGAGGCGGAACAAACCTCCAAAATAATTTTTCCCCCATCCCCAAAATGCCCACTCCTGACCCAACACGTACTGTGGTGCTGCATGTTATGAATAAAAGCAATTAGTGCTTGAGTACTTTTAAGTGCTCTCATCTGGATTTTTTTAACTCAAATTCCCCAAATGGCAAAATTATAGTAATTTCTCTTTTCTTCTTTCCTTCTCTCTCTCTCTCTCTTTTACAAAAAAATTAAGGAGCAATTAATCATTCCAAAAGTGCAAGTATTAAAGGTAATTTTTATCCATTGTTGCAAATTATATCCTCATAATTTTCTCCAGTGTTCTAACAATGAAAGCTTCTTGCGCATTAATGCTTGCCTTTAACTTACATGCCATACTGTTATTGGCTTTATATCAAATTATGTGAGATACAAACTATTCCAATGTGATTTATTTATTTCTTATAAAATATTTCTAGGTCACCTTTCCAGCCCTATCCAAGGCTGCTTACAACAATAAAAAAAATACAAAAAGAGGAACTCAGCAATACAAAAGCTAAAATTATCAGATCCCATCAGAATAAGGACCAATAAGATATATATGAAGCCAACAATAAATCATTTTTCAGCCAGTAACTTACACACAGTATTCATCTGCTTGCACACCTTTATCTAGCAAACAGTGTTGCAGATATCATTAGATGTTAGCCAGATGACCAATCCTGTAATCTGAAATCTCATTTTACAAAAAGAGACAAGGACTGACAAAAGACATATACTAGAATACTGATCAGAAATATGTCAGATACATAATCCAATTAGCTGCTGTTTTACTAAGAAAGATGGTAGTAATAAACATTTGCAGTGCTTCGATCCCAGTCATAATAGCAGTGTTCAAAATGCTTCTCTTTTTAAAAAGTTTTTTTTAAAAATATAAAAGGTAGGAAAATTAACTCATATTTTCTGCTTCTCATTCTAGGTTATAACAACCAACATATTTGTGAAGATCAAATCCAGAAATCTCCCCAGTTCTACAGCAGAACTGCTTCTGAATCGAACGTGTATCTGAACGCCTTCCATTATCCTGATCATAATTTCAAGGACCATGCCTTTGATACTCTAAGCTTAGACAGTTCTGACAGTATGGAGACCAGCATTTCTGCCTGCTCCCCAGATAATATCTCCAGGTAAATAATTTTCCCCCAGTAAATTTGACACTTTAAAAATAGTTTTTTTTAAAAAAATATGCAGTTTAAGGGCTTATCCAGCCAGCATCCTAACATTATTTCTAAAGGCACCCTTAGTCCACATTTAGTGGATTGCAGAGCGTCATACAGAACAGTATTTTTCAGGCATGTACATGCATGCATAGTTTCATTGACGGAGCAGAAATTGCACTTCTCCCTGTATTTTTGCTACAGGTAATTTCACAGTCTTACATATATTGTTTGCACTGAGTTTGTGTCTAGTTCTCTGCACATGTTCAGGTAACCAGAGCATACCCAGATCTTGTATCCAAACTTATCATATTAACAAAAAGACTGGAATTACATCTCTAATACGGAACTGTTTTCTGAAAGTCAGGCTCTCTTTTTCTCTCTCCTTTACTAGTGCCAGTACTTCAAATGTTGCAAGAATAGAAGAAATGGAAAGACTTTTGAAACAAGCTCATGCTGAAAAGACTCGATTACTTGAATCCAGGGTAATCTAACATTAGCAGACATGGTTATAGCACAAATTGACTTTGTATCCCCAGCAAGGGTTTGAAAGGGTTCCGTTTTCGCAGAATTCGTTTTGAGTTATTTCTTTGCTCCTGTTTCAGTTCCTTTTAAAATTACAATTTTATCCGCTCGCCACAAATATAAAAGTATTTGGTGGTTCTGCCTAAGAAATACGCAGTATAGTACAGAGATTCCGTGCTCTAAATTCAGAGTTATCCTAAAGTACGCTTCCTCAACTTCGGCCCTCCAGATTTTTTTTGCCTACAACTCCCATGATCCCTAGCTAGCAGGACCAGTGGTCAGGGATGATGGGAACTGTAGTCTCAAAACATCTGGAGGGCCGAGGTTGAGGAAGCCTGGCCTAGAGGAACAAACAAAACAGGTATTAGGGCCAGTAATAAAGCAGGTCATTGTCTAAGACAGGAGTGTCAAACTCAAATTCATCGGGGGCCGCATCAGCAGTTTGGTCACCCTCAAAGGGCCGGTTGTATCTGTAGGTCCTACAGTAAAGTGGAGGTTTCCTGTGTAGAACGGCTGGCGCCGCTAGAGGGCAGGCGTTCTCTGGCTTGTAGGCTGCCACGCATGCACTGAAGAGGCGGCTTTCTTGTGTCCAAAAAAAAAAAAAAAAGCGAGAATAAAAGGTGAAGGCTGGCGGCCGGCGGTGGCTACACGGGCCACATGACGAGGTCTGGCGGGCCGGATTCGGCCCGCGGGCCTTGTGTTTGACACCCGTGGTCTAAGATATGCACCCCAAGAGGTCCTTGCAGCATGAAATAGGACATTGCAACCAGGGGATATCAAAATGTATTGAGCTGCCTCTGACTCAATTGCACCCTTGCTTGCTCTAAGAGGAACTGGAAGTAGTATTAAAAAATAAGGGGTTAGACGAAAAAGAGATTATTGGACCCTACTGGTCCTTCTTCAAAGAAATAGATTCAACATTTAGATGTGTTACCTCATCACATCTAAACATTGAATCCTTATCTGAAATCCTCTGAAGTACATATATCCATACGTACCTCCAGTTCTTTTATAGGATTTCCGCCTATATTTGGAGTTCTGAAAATGATTAACCTTGCAGCTTGGCTTAAATAGACACCAGCTTTGTCCTCTGACTGCAGATGTGTTGTTTTCGGAGCCACTTCATACAGTCAGTTCATGTCTCTCTTTTCAGCATTGGGAACAGGGCTCAAACTGATTTTTGTGCAGGGCTTGAAGCAGAAGCATTTCATGGCTGAAATGCTTTCACTGGGTTTTTAAAAACTGAATATCATAATATGTAAGTTCTATGACTGAACCATGAACACACTTTTCAATAAGGTTGACCTTGCACATGAGCAAAAACAAAACAAAAACTATCATTAGCATAATAAATGTAGCCACTGTGGGCAGTAGATGTTTTCTCAGCCTCTGTTTATTTTAGCTGAGTGACTGAAAATATTCCACGTGTTGTCATTTGCTAACTGAAATAATTAAAAAGTAAAAACCTTGACACTGAGGCAAAAATATTTACTTTTCATTCTGTGCCAAGGCCACATCATTTATATTTCTGTTCGGTTCTGGCATTATTTCATAGTCTCATTTTTACAGGCATATCTTAGACTCAGACACAAGGTGGGTGGGTAGTAATAATATATATGTATAAAGGCCATGTTTGTGTCATTAGAACAAGAGTTTAGCTAGGATTTGCCATCAGGCAGTACCATACTGTAGAACTGGCACACTGATGAATGAATTGGGAGGGAATGTGTATTATTAGGGTTGGGGGTTTTTTGTGGTGTTGTTTTTTAAACCAACACATTTCTAATACAATGTTGTATGGGGCGGCTTTTAGGAACGAGAAATGGAAGCTAAAAAAAGAGCGCTGGAAGAAGAAAAGCGTCGAAGGGAGCAACTAGAAAAAAGACTGCAAGAAGAAACTAGCCAGCGACAAAAACTAATTGAAAAAGAAGTTAAGATACGTGAAAAGCAAAGGTCGCAGGTAAGAAAATGCAGGCGCTGAATGGGAACACAAATATTAAGAGAGGGGAGGGAAGCCCAATTGCAAGCAAGACGCTATGGATTCTAACTTGTGACAGGCCATGTGTCCCAAGGGATAAAGCAGGGGCTGTGCCAACTTTTTTTAGGCAATTGGGTTATGAGTGACTGCTGTGAGGGCCACCCACTCTGGTCTGGCTTTCCCTCTCCCCTGGATCAGCCACCTCAAGAGCAGGAAAGAGGGTGTAAGCACACAGACTTTGAAATGATATTAAGCAGGCATAGGCAAACTCGGCCCTCCAAATGTTTTGGGACTCCAACTCCCATCATCCCTGACCACTGGCCCTGTTAGCTAGGGAGTTGTAGTCTCAAAACATCTGGAGGGCTGAGTTTGCCTATGCCTGATATTAAGCCTTCAAAGGCTTCTAGAATGAGACGGATGCAGTCAACTTAATACTAGGCTGCTGGAAGTATATAGCCAGCAGAGGTCACTGTGCTACCTGTCATTCCTTTATCTCCCAGGGTAAATACTGAAGACCAAACTAGACAAAGTGACAGAGATCTGTGGTCAGATGTTTTCCTACTTTTTTGTAAAAAGCAGCCCCACTCTCCTCCCTTCCAGTTCTCTTCAGTACTATGGCACTCAGTGGTGGGGTTTATAACTCTTTCACACTTCCACCTAAAGGTTGAGAAAACACACATTTATCTATTTCAACTTCACATACTTACATGTGCGCTTAAAATATGTGAGGGATATGTACGCCTTCAAAATGTAATGTATGAAATTGATGCCTTTGTCACATAATTTAGACTGAGATTATATATCATGAGGGCTGTTGACATTTGGTTTCTAAGGTTGTGACTAAGCACTCTGTGTGTAAGTGTGCAATAAAAAGTGTAAGTTTCAGATTGGGTACTTTATTTCAGGTGTTGAATGCACCTGAAATATATATTTTATATATAAGCGAAGAAAGGAAAAATACTGATTTTTTAAATTTATTTTTTGCTGTTCCCATTAGTCTCGCCCTTTGACTCGTTATTTACCTGTCAGAAAGGAAGATTTTGATCTACGCAGCCACATAGAGACAGCAGGACACAATATAGAGACCTGTTACCATGTCTCACTCACAGAGAAGACCTGCCGAGGTTTTCTTATTAAGATGGGAGGGAAAATTAAAACCTGGAAGAAGCGATGGTTTGTGTTTGATAGGAACAAGAGAACATTTTCTTATTATGCAGGTAAGTTGTATGGAGCCTTCCTATGGTTTGTCTATTAAGTTACATCAGTGCTGCTACTTGTAATTTAAGTTACTTGTTGCTTGCCTAATGTTACCCATTTACATTTTATCTTGTAATAACTCACGGAGCTTCCTAATGCTCTGATCCTTCTAGTCACATGACTCAAATAAAGACATGCAGGTAAATCTCTTCTTAGCAAACTGAGTCATCCTATTTGTTTGGAACTTTCACCAGTGGGACTTAACTCTTGGTAAAACAGTTGTACCTTAGAAGTCGAACAGAATCCGTTCCAGAAGTTTGTTTGACTTCCGAAACATTTGGAAACCAAGGATTGGCTGCAGGAAACTCCTGCAGCCAACTGGAACTCGCATCGGACGTTTGGGTTCCAAAGAACGTTTGAAAACCAGAACACTCACTTCTGGGTTTGTGGCATTCGGGAGCCAAAATGGTTGAGTCGCAAGGCATTCAACTTCCGAGGTACGACTGTAATGATTTGGGTTGCTGTCTCCACCACATATAGACTACAATCCTTGTTAGTAATTTCATTCTGTCTTTGCTGTTGGATCTTGTGATCCACTGTTTACATTCCATAGTGATAGGAGTGTGGGAATGGAACTCAGACACTGTACTTCCGTTCTGTCTGCTTTTGTACTTTCTCTCTTTGTTCTCTGCTTTCGGACAGAGAAGACATGTGTGAAGCTGCTGCTCACACACAGCCATGTTTGTTGTTTTGATCTGCTGTAAATAAAGAAGCTTTTGTGATGCCAAATACCTACAATCGCTTCTTGCTGATACTCTGCTGATGCTAATAGCGTGCCCACAGCTCCACTGGATGTGAGTCGCTGGCCACCTGCGTATGAGGAAGGAATGTATGCATAATCCTAACCTGTGGCTGGGCTTTATGGAGTGGCACAGCTAGCACCACAGCCACAGCCCCACTGCTTATGCCAACCAGGGCAGAAGATGAGAGAGCAGGAAGAAATGCTCCATCACTGCACCAGCTACCAGGCTGGCACAGCAGAGGCAGATTATGCCCCTTGCTGTCACCTGCTGGTTGCATGGCTTTCTCAGGATGCAGCTGACCCTGTGCTGGCCCTGTCTTTGCCAGGCTCCATGGATACAGTTTTGTGTGCTGATAAATGCCTGCATATGCTTCGTTCTCCTTTACAAAGCACTCAGATAAGAAGTACTGTACCTATATTTCCCTTTCATGTACGTATATACACTCTGAATTAGTGTGCTGTAGTAAAGGTAATCTAAATGAAGAAAGAAGTAGAGGTTTTCCTGGAATAGTTAATAAATAAACTTTTTTTAAAACTTCTATTGTTGGTGGCAAAACATGTTGTATAGGTTGATCCTTCAATCCCTATGGTGGGATGTTAGTTTCAACTTTTCTTTTTCTTATTGTAGACAAACATGAAACCAAGTTAAAAGGAGTAATTTATTTTCAAGCCATTGAAGAAGTCTATTATGATCACCTAAAGAATGCTAATAAGGTAAAAAAAATGTTTTCCTATAAATATATACTTATTTACTCTTTGAAAGTATCATAGTTCCTAAAGTGGGTTAGAACCTAGTTTTAGTAAAACACTTATTTGCTGCCAAGATTTTTTGATGTAAAACACCACTTTAAATTTTTCACATATGTACAGTAATACAACTGACAGAAAAAGTGAGACACATGATTTTGATACTAGAAATCCCACTACTACTCATTATCATGTCTGTGATAAATCAAGTCAAGCGGAGTTGTCATTTCAGTAAGTATACTGTCAGTATACTGTTTCAGTGCTCCTTCAAAAATTCACAAAGTGTTTTTACAGTTTTTTAAGTGGCTTTTAAGGAGGAGCAGTGAAAACTTGCGGGCCGTGGCACGGAATACTTGAAGATATGTCTAGTTCCCACTGCACAGATCATTGCACAGATGTAAAGAACAGAACTTTCATAGTTGGGCAGAAGAGAAAATTTTGACAGGTGAAGACTGTCAGGTGGGAGGAGAGCTGTGCCTGGGGAAATTCCCTTGCCTACAGCAGTTAAGATTCAAAAATCCTGCACTCCTGTCCTACTGTCATCTGTGGAAGGCAGAGAATCAGAATCGGTAACACTCACCAACTTAGTAAATTGATATACAAACACGTCTTTTCAGCCCCTTTGCACATCTTCTATAACCTATAGCTTCCCAGTTTGACCAAACCAGGTAAATGCGGCTATTAAATGAGTGGCTAAGCTGTGGGTATCCATATTTTTTAATTCCGGCTTCCATCAGCATGGCCAGTGGTTAGGGATGATGGCAGTTGTACTCCCTGGACTAATGGAAAACCTACTGGTCTGTATCCTAGCTTGCACGAAAGGTCTCTGCGGATGGCCATGGGCTCGTTCATATTTCAGCTTACTAAGTTAAGACCTGAACTTCTAATGCATGTAAACTTACTCTGCAGCACACAGGTTGTATTATGCAATTGACTTTATGTATTCTTTTTTCTTTCCTTCCAGAGTCCTAATCCGTTGCTTACTTTCAGCGTTAAGACACATGACAGAATATATTACATGGTGGCCCCCACACCAGAAGCTATGCGGATATGGATGGATGTAATAGTTACAGGGGCAGAAGGCTATACCCACTTCATGTTATAGTAAAATGGGGCAAAGTTTCTTTGGCAGGGCATAATGCAATAAACAGCCTCACATTTGGGGAAGGTGGGGAGAAGCCATATTTAATCATGTTGGACAAGTCACACACAAAAACAAGAAGCCACAGGTCAGAAATGGAACACATGCTGTGTACGGGAACATTAATTCTTAGATTTGTTAATCACTGACATAGCAGAAGAAAAGAAAAGCTGCTTAAAAGATTGTAGTGCTCCAAAATGGATAATCAGATCGCCATAAGCCTGGCACAGAGATTCTATGGCAATTTTCCTGCAAAATTTCCTAATAAAAAGAAACTTCATAGCATAAAAGTGTTAATATACTCATCAGTATTTCACTATTAAGAAATGAAAGGGAAAGGTATGATGTCTGTATTTAATGCACAGAAATTCTGTATAATTTTAATTTCCTTATAGGTTTTATAACAAATTTTTAAAAACTACAGTGTGCGATGTTTTTGTCTTAGTTTACTGCAGAACCAAAGATTCACACTGTATAATGAGATTTAGCTTTCATGTGATGAAAAAGCATTAAAACACTTCATAAATATTATTGGGGCATTTCAAAATATTACCATTAGCTTGTTCTTTTGAAAATACTGTACATGAATTGAGTAACTTCCAAACATCACTCATTTCACTAAAAGGGCAGTATCAGCTGAAAATTTGTATGTAGAGAGGTTCATGTCCTGCATTTCTTCAGTATCAATTACTAAATTATTTAAGTTCTTGCAACATTACGACATTCTGCCTGCTAAAACTGAAGAAAGAATTTTGTGGGTAAAGAATATTGATAGAGCTAAGAACTGCAGCTAAAAAGCCAAGTCTTCAAAATTATGTGTTAGTGGTTTTAGCAACCCCCCCCCCCCCGCCCAAAGGCAGAAATTTTCCCCAAATGCAAGATTTTGTAGTATATAGCTACAGAGAAATCTTTGTTCCGAATATCCGGGACCTCACATAGGGGATATATGATCAGCCCACAGATGGGTTAGGGAATGCCCTGTATTCGCATTGGAAAAGTTCACAGATTTCAACCCTTTCGCATAAAGACTGACAGATTTCAGCGTAACTGAATACCCTCTGAGGGTCGGTTGACAGAAACAAGAAGCTGGGGCAATTTTCTTGGGCACACATGAGACCAGTCATCAACCAGACTCCTTCAGTCTGACCAGAATTTTATATGTGCTGGTGGTGAAGAAGGGTAGGAGTATTTCTATCGCATTTCACCAGGACCAGCAGCTATGTTTCAGTGCCTGAATAGAAGCCATGTAAACTTACTCTGCATGATAAACAACGCAGCTGCTGCTAGTTCCACTGCCCATTTGTCTTACTGCTACGCTCCCAATTCAACCCTCCAGGGTGCCATCACAGCCTTATGTCATCAGTTACCACATGCATTTGTACTCACACTTTCATTTGACCTGTATTTTGATCGTATTGTGTACCTATTAATTCTCCCAGGTCCGAGGGCTTTTCTCGCCATTCCGCAGTTTCCCTTGCAAAAAATGGATTTTGCCCGCTGAATCGGACCTTACCAGATGCGTGAAAAAGCTGAAGAGAGATTTTACTCACCAAGCTTCTGATTCAGTGGGTAAGATTGGATTTTCCCAAGGCACAGCTATGAAACAATAAAAGTTCTTGGACCTGGATGAATCCATCGGTATATAGTTTGATCGAAATATGGGACAAGTGAAAGAGTGAATTAGCCCCAAGACAAGTATTTTATTTTGTGAACCGCCCTGAGATCTGTGGATGAAGGACAATATACAAATGTAACAAATTATTATTTTCTTTCCCACTTACTTGAAACTTTCTTACAAACTAAATATACAACAAATGTAAAAAATATAATACATTTCCCTTTAGCCCAAATACAGTGAATACAGTATTTTCTGTGCCCTGTGATCTCTAAGCAACTGATATAGGAGATTGTAGATCAGTGGTAGAAAAGATGTTTTGAGTGCCAAAAGCCCCAGTTTCAATCCATGACCTCTCCAATTAAAAAGGTTCAGGCAGGTGATGTAAAAAGGCTTCTGCCTGAGGCCCTAAGGAGCTGCTGTCAGTCAGAATAATCGACAATACTGGACTAGGTGGTCAAATGGTCTTAATTTTCTATAAGACAGCTTCCTAACGTGATACAGAAAACTGTTTTAGACCCAGTGGATCAGTTAAAGTTCAATAGTCTGAAGGTGGCTGCTACAAAGCATTCGCCCAAGATAGTCTGAAGTGTTTGTGTAATTGAAGAGATTACTGTATCTCTCTCATAAAAAAATATATTCCTTGAAGATCTTTTCCATTAAAAGAAAACACATTTTAATCCTTGAATATTGTGTTCAGATGAATGATTGAATTTTTAAGTTCAAGTCTGTGTTTGATATTCTCTTTTAATAATCTGAATTTGTAAGTGCCATATGCTTTTTAATGTAGGAAATGAAAATCATTGTTTCTGTTCAAGAAAAATATAGATAATAAATCACTCTCGCAGAAGTGGTTTAAGTTTAAATATATCCTGCATGAAGAGCTGTTTGTTTGTTTTTGTTAAAAAAAATCACACAATATGGTATGGCCAATAATGTGGTTACGATAGTTCACAAATGCTGCAGTCCCGAAAAATTACATCCAAGTGTGCTTGCAGCAGGGTTAGAGAACATTTCTCAATATGAGGGCCCTATTCCATTGCTCCCCAGCCTACTGGGGACCACATGACAACGGTGGGTGGGGCAGAGGCAAAGTGGGCGGGGCACTGAATGAGACTGAACGTTTTTCAGTAGGCTACATTACAGCCCTGCAGGAGGTTTCTACAGAAGCAGCCTACACAGCTCACCATCCAGGCAAACAAGAGTCATTAACAGAGACAAAAACACCCCAGGAGGTGGCACAGGACTGGTGAGGGGTGTGAACTGTGAAGGGGGTGTGGCCTGCATAGTTCCCCCAAGGGCTTCCTAGCCTGAGTTCCTCCACCTCTGACTTGCAGCCTGACAAGCATGGTTTAAGGCTACATTTGCTTAAGTTTGATTAAAGTTTCAATCTTCTGTGATTTTTCAGGAATGCAGTATAAATGATATTCATTATGAATAGAAAGAAAGGATCTCTTATCACAAAGCCTAATTAAAATCCTCTTTAAAAAAGAAGAAGACTGGAAAAACAGCTTAGATGGTTTTTTTTTAAAAAAAGAATTAAGCAGTATAGAAATTCCCATAAATAAAAACAAATGATGTTTGCAATGTTTGAGGATAAATTCCAGAAATGAGTGGCATTGGGTTATATAATTTTTGTCATGTATTTTGATTTTACTTCTATATCGTTTTACAGGTTTTCTAATCTTTTTGTATCTTCCATGTTGTAATAACATTCAAATAAATGTTTGAAAATACCTGATCTTTTATTTTCAAATAATATGTCTGGTTTCTTACAGCAGGAAGCTTTAATCAGTGTGCAGCTCTGAAGGTCTTTAGCTCAGTGCTAGGACTTCTGTTTGCATGCACCAAGCATGGTGAGCTCCCCAGCCCTTAGCAGACTAGCAAAATTTGCTGCAGGATATGTAACTTTTCTGGGCATGTTTACAAGGCTGATCACACCCTATATGCTCATGCTGCTCACCTCATGCAATCCTAACCACATTTACTACAACAAGAGCGGGGAACATTTATTCAGCCTGGTGGCTATATTCCCTTTGGGGTACACCTTCTGGGGAGCTGCAGTTGGGTGGGACCAGAAGCAAAACTTGGTGGAGTAATACACATTTTACGTTTCTACAGAAGGCTAGTTTCTACACATCCCACTCTAGTCTGTTATCCATTAACAGAGTTCAAGTACACACATTGTGACCAGCAAAAAAACCACATAAATTAAAGGACAGGGCCAGCCAGATAGTGTGGGTAAGGATAACCTGTAACTTGAGGACTAGACAGGAGAGCTGCATTAAACTCCCAGGTTCTCCACTCCTGTTCTAGGGCACAAGCCCTCTTGAACAGAGTAGGGCGTAAGGTACACGTCTGGTTAGAATCAGGCTGAAAACCTTGAATCTATTTTAAATCCCCATTCATTTATTGTGGGTATGGGAACATGGAAAGACTAAGACTGTTCAAAATACAATCAGTTTCTTCAAACACCTAATTCAGTGGTTTTCAACCTAGGGTACCTTGAAGGATGGTTATGGATGCCTTGAGCAACACTGGCCTCTGTCCCTCTTCCTTCTCTCCTTCTTCCAATGCCCTCTCTTGTCTCTGCCTCCCAAAGGCTTGCATGGCTTTTTGTTGCAGCAGCCCCAGCTACAAGCTCCCCAGCTGAATGGTGCCTCTGGGGCTGGCCAGGGGGTGCTGATTGCTGGGAGCTGAGGTGGCCTCGGAGTAAGCAAGAAAGGAGACAACGGGGCCAGCCACCTAATCCACCAGCCCTTGCTGTTGGGAATGGACAGACAAGTGGGATGCCAGCCCACGTATAGCAGATTACCGTTGTCCTTTACTTCTCTACGCAGATGATGCAGTACTACTCTCTTACTCCAGAGTGGGTTTAAAGAGGGCACTAAAGATTTTTGCGACATATTGCCATTCTAATCATCTGTCTATCAACCACTCCAAGTCCAAAGTACTGATATTTTCAAGGAGTCGAAAACTTTATTCATGGAAACTGGAGGGCACGAAAATCGAACAAGTACATAAATTTAAATATTTAGGAATTTATTTTCAATATAATTTAGGGTGGAAAGCGCACGTTGAATATCTTCAAAACAAGACAAAAGCCCTATCACACTCCCTCCTCCGTTTTTTTTACTCTGAGGGGGCCTTATTCATCCCTGCAGCCTTGAAAGTATATAGCATCAAAGTGATGGCCACAATGGCCTATGCTGCACCTTTATGGGCTGCCTTTGCAAACCTCTCACCTTTAGAGTCACTTCAAAGCCAATTCTTACGCCAACTTCTAAAATTACCAACATGCGTAAGTAATGCGGCTATTCGCTTAGAAATGAAGATCCCCTCAGTGGAGTTAGTTATATGGAGGAGAGTTTTGATTTATTGGATATCCCTATGGCATAAACTCCCGAACCACTATCTCATTCAATGCATGTGGCGAGATGACTTCACAAATTTGTGGTCAGGAAAAATCCATGCCAAATTGCTGTCCTATGAGATCTCACCCACTGAATTGCTCAAACTGGATCTAAATGTGGCAAAAAGGTGTATAAATCAAAGGCTGGATGATGCGGAGCTATACCAAAATTTCGTAGCTGGTGGTGGAGCCAGCTCACTGTTAAATTTCGGCATAACCCCTATCTACCGCGCTCCGTCCTACTTAACATCGCTTATGGCCGCGTCTCACCGATATGCCTTCATTAGAGCTAGGTTCAATGTCTTTCCAACAAACGTGCTGAGACATAGATTTACTAAGGGCCAAGTCCCTTCAATGTGCGCTTGTGAAATGAAAACATCTGAATCTCTACATCATGTTATGTTTATCTGCCCTTTGTACAGTTCAGCCCGTGCTAGTATACTAAACTCCATAATCCAGACTATGGCTGACAAACCAGTAGACCTACAGCTTGCCTGGGTTCTTCAAGATGTGGATCCTCATATTACCCTACAGGTTGCTAAATTCCTAACAGCCGTCCTCTCGTACAAGAGACGGAATGGAACGTTAGCTGATTATTGATAGTTATAAGAATTTTCTATAATGACATCAGATATTGCTTTTAGTGTAGTGCCTAAAATTTTTAATCTTAATCTTTTCTTATGAATGGCTAATATCTGTCCTTGTGAGTTGTGAACTGTGTTATACTACTTGTGGTTTGTACGAGTCCGCTGTTTTATTTGATTTGTTTTGTTGTGTTGTGTTTCATGATGGGCGTAAAGCCGAATAAACATTTTGATTGATTGGGATGCCAGGCAGGCAGGAGCTGCACTGGCCTTTCTTGTGCTTGCTGTGTGCAAGGCCTGCCTGGGAGCTGAGTGCCCAGTGCTGAAGGGGAGCTTTTCTGCCATGCAGGCCCAGCAGCACCCATTGCTGCCACTAAAACCTCCCAAGGCTGAGCTAGTCCCAAACCTGAGCTAGTCTCCTACAACTTGCAGGATCTAAGGCTAATGATAAGTTGGATGTCTGAACACGAATGTGGGGGAACTGCGTCCTAACTGGGGAGAGGCTGTGTAGTTCACACAGAAGCTCACAGGTTCAATCCCCAGGGCTGGGAATTTTCCCTGCCTAAATCCCTGAAGAGCCTCTCTGAGTCAGTGCAGACTAACTATACTGCTCTGGGGAAAAGGTGTACTTTTCCCTCCCTAACCCCAAAGCATCTGTCCATAGAATAGGGAAATGAGTTAAAAATAATTAAACCACCCTCGGGGCATGCATAAGATTCCCCATAGGGAGGTGAGACTGGGAGGGGAAAGCAAAAAAATAAATAAAATAAACACGTTTACATCAGCTTCGTAATAGGCCGGTTATTGTGTTATTATTTGGGACAATCTAATACACCGTATCTAGTGTCAACGGGGTTTGACGGCGAGGAAGCAGCAACGGGCAGTTTCCATATTACTGGTTTTCAGAAGGGTCCCCCAAAGGTTATCCAGCCCAACCCCAAACTTCCCTCCCATTCCCTCTCAAGTGTTCATGTTTACCCCGCCCGTAAGGTTCTCACTGCGAGCAGTCATGAAGACAGACAGCAAAACCCTGCCCGCTTCCAAGCCCAGCTTCCACTTCCCAGCGGCTCTCCTCACCTTAGCGCGCCTTTCCCGCGCTTCCCACAGAACTCCCCCCCCCCCGCGGGCTTTTCGAGCATGCGTAGTCTAAAACCGACAGGCTCCACCCACCACCACCTGGCCAGGCGCATGCGCACTCGCTTCCTCGCCGAGCGGCCCGAGGGGAAGGGGCGTGCGCTGGCTCGCGTGTCTGCGCTGGAGGGCGATGGCGGGGGCGGCGAGAGTCCTGTGGCGGGAGAGCCGCCGCCGCCGCTGCTGGGGCCCAGAGGCCGCTCGAGCGACGGCGCTAGTGGGCTTCCCTCAGCTGCCGGGTAAGTGCGAGGGGGCGTGGCTCGGCCGGACGGTAGCGCGATGGAAGCGCCATTCCTCCGCCGCCTCTTCTTCTTCCCGTGGGTTCCTGCCGAGGCTTCACGCGGGCGAGGCTCCAGGTGTTGTCGGACTCCATTTCCCCTCAGCCCTGTGGCGAAGGATCATGGGAGTTGTAGTCCGGCAACTGGCGGGGCCGCCAATCCCCCCCCCCCCATCCACGTCCTTGCTGGGTCAGGAAATGGCCCGCCTAGTCGGGCATCCTCTCTCACGGTGGCCGCCCAGGTGTCCCGGAGGGAAGCCAGCGAGCAGGATTCAGAAGCGCCTCTGGCTCCAAACAGTAGCCATCATAGCTGTCAACTTTTCCCTTTTATTGCGAGGAATCCTATTCGGAATAAGGGAATTTCCCTTTAAAAAAGGGAAACGTTGACAGCTATAGTAGCCATCGTGGCCGCCAGTGGTCCTCTCTGCCATGAATTCGGCCTTTTTTTTAAGCCACCTAAATTGATGGCCATCACTGCCTCGTGCCTGCCCAGCCAGAGGCGGACTACAAAGGCTGCCCTTGTGGTGAGAAAAAGGTACGAAGAGAAAGAAGAGAAGAGTTTGGATTTGATATCCCGCTTTATCACTCCCCTAAGGAGTCTCATAGAATCATAGAATCATAGAGTTGGAAGAGACCACAAGGGCCATCGAGTCCAACCCCCTGCCCAAGCAGGAAACACCATCAGAGCACTCCTGACATATGGTTGTCAAGCCTCTGCTTAAAGACCTCCAAAGAAGGAGACTCCACCACACTCCTTGGCAGCAAATTCCACTGTCGAACAGCTCTTACTGTCAGGAAGTTCTTCCTAATGCTTAGGTGGAATCTTCTTTCTTGTAGTTTGGATCCATTGCTCCGTGTCCGCTTCTCTGGAGCAGCAGAAAACAGCCTTTCTCCCTCCTCTATGTGACATCCTTTTATATATTTGAACATGGCTATCATATCACCCCTTAACCTCCTCTTCTCCAGGCTAAACATGCCCAGCTCCCTTAGCCGTTCCTCATAAGGCATCGTTTCCAGGCCTTTGACCATTTTGGTTGCCCTCCTCTGGACACGTTCCAGTTTGTCAGTGTCCTTCTTGAACTGTGGTGCCCAAAACTGGACACAGTACTCCAGGTGAGGTCTGACCAGAGCAGAATACAGTGGCACTATTACTTCCCTGGATCTAGATGCTATACTCCTATTGATGCAGCCCAGAATTGCATTGGCTTTTTTAGCTGCCGCGTCACACTGTTGGCTCATGTCAAGTTTGTGGTCAACCAAGACTCCTAGATCCTTTTCACATGTACTGCTCTCAAGCCAGGTGTCACCCATCTTGTATTTGTGCCTCTCATTTTTTTTGCCCAAGTGCAATACTTTACATTTCTCCCTGTTAAAATTCATCTTGTTTGTTTTGGCCCAGTTCTCTAATCTGTCAAGGTCGTTTTGAAGTGTGATCCTGTCCTCTGTGGTGTTAGCCACCCCTCCCAGTTTGGTGTCATCTGCAAATTTGATCAGGATGCCCTTGAGTCCATCATCCAAGTCGTTGATAAAGATGTTGAATAAGACCGGGCCCAAGACAGAACCCTGTGGCACCCCACTAGTCACTCTTCTCCAGGATGAAGAGGAACCATTGATGAGCACCCTTTGGGTTCGGTCAGTCAGCCAGTTACAAATCCACTGAGTGGTAGCATAGTCAAGACCGCATTTTACCAGCTTCTTTACAAGAATATCATGGGGCACCTTGTCAAATGCCTTGCTGAAATCAAGGTAGACTACATCCACTGCGTTCCCTTCATCTACCAGGCTTGTAATTCTGTCAAAAAACGAGATCAGGTTAGTCTGACATGACTTATTTTTCAGAAATCCATGCTGACTATTGGTGATCACAGCATTCCTTTCTAGGTGCTCAAAGACTGTTTACTTAATGATCTGCTCCAGAATCTTCCCTGGTATTGATGTCAGACTGACTGGGCGGTAATTATTTGGGTCCTCTCTTTTCCCCTTTTTGAAAATAGGGACAACATTTGCCCTCCTCCAGTCTGCCGGGACTTCGCCTGTTCTCCAGGAATTCTCAAAGATGACTGCCAGTGGTTCTGAAATCACATCTGCCAGTTCTTTTAATATTCTTGGATGCAGTTCATCTGGCCCTGGAGACTTGAATACATCTAGACTAGCCAAGTATTCTTGTACTATCTCCTTAGTTATTCTGGGCTGTGTTTCCTCTGCTGAATCATTTGCTCCAAATTCTTCAGGTCGGGCATTGTTTTCTTTATCGGAGAAGACTGAGGCAAAGAAGGCATTGAGGAGTTCAGCCCTTTCTGTGTCCCCTGTTTGCATTTCACCATCTTCTCCTCTGAGTGACCCCACGGTTTCTTTGTTCTTCCTTTTGCTACGAACATACCCATAAAAGCCTTTTTTGTTGCTTTTAACCTCTCTAGCAAGCCTGAGTTCATTTTGTGCTTTAGCTTTTCTGACTTTGTGTCTACACGTGCTGGCTATTTGTTTGAATTCCTCTTTGGTGGTTTCCCCCCTTTTCCATTTTTTGTACACATCCTTTTTTAATCTTAACTCAGTTAAAAGTTCTTTAGATAGCCACCCTGGCTTCTTTAGGCACCTTCCATGTTTCCGTCTCATTGGTATTGCCTGAAGTTGTGCTTTTACTATCTCCCTCTTAACAAACTCCCAGCCATCTTGAACTCCCTTTCCTTTTAGTATTACTGTCCATGGGATCTCACCCAGCACTTCCCTAAGCTTTATGAAGTCGGCTTTCTTAAAGTCAAAAAATTGAGTCCTAGTATGCTTGGCTGCTCCTTTCCGCTGTATAGTAAACTTCAGAAGAGCATGATCACTCGCGCCTAATGATCCTTCCACTTCTACCCCACTAACCAGGTCATCAACATTGGTTAGGACCAGATCTAAAATGGCTGTTCCTCTTGTTGCTTCTCCCACTTTCTGGACAATGAAGTTGTCTGCAAGGGCAGTGAGGAATCTGTTTGACCTTATGCTCTTGGCTGAGTTTGACATCCAACAAATATTTGGGTAATTGAAGTCCCCCATTACTACTATCTCCCTTCCTTTTGCATGCTTGGCCATCTGTTCCAGGAAGGCATCATCTATGTCCTCCGTTTGGCTTGGGGATCTATAATAAACTCCCACAATGAGGTCACTGTTATTCTTCTCTCCCTTAATTTTGACCCAAATGCTCTCACTTTGGCTTTGAGGTTCTAAATCTTGGATCTCTTCACAGGTATACACATCCCTGACATATAACGCCACTCCTCCTCCTTTCTTGTCTGGTCTGTTTCTTTGAAATAGATTGTATCCCTCCATTATTACATTCCAATCGTGGGATTTATCCCACCAGGTTTCAGTGATTCCTATTATGTCATATTTAGTTTGCTGTACCAGGAGCTCAAGCTCATCTTGTTTATTTCCCATGCTTTGCGCATTAGTGTACAGACATTGAAGTCCATTAATCATTCCCCCGTGTCTCTTATTTAAGGATTTTCTCCTCCCACCACTAGGTCTGCATGCTCTTTGCTCCATTCGGTCTATGACATTTGGATGATCATCTTCATCAATTGATAGACTCCTACCTTCAGGAGCACTGTCTCCCTCCCCCACATTAGTCAGTTTAAAGCCCTCCTGATGAGGTTTCTGAGATTTTTTGCAAAAACATTCCTCCCAACCGTTGTGAGGTGCAGCCCATCGCTTGCCAGAAGTCCATCTTCAAGAAACTGCATTCCGTGATCTAAGAATCCAAACCGTTCCTGTTTGCACCATTTGCGAAGCCAGTTGTTCACTTCCACTATTTTTCCCTCTCTCCCTGGGCCACGTCGTTCAACTGGGAGGACAGATGAGATGACAATTTGTGCATTTAATTGCTTCAATTTCCTGCCCAGAGCCTCGTAATCTCTTTTGATCTTCTGGAGGCTATTGCTTGCAGTGTCATTGGTTCCCACATGAACCAAGAGGAAGGGGTATTTGTCAGTGGGTTTTATGATTCCTTGCAGTCGTTCAGTTACATCTTGGATCTTAGCCCCGGGGAGACAGCACACTTCCCGAGACATCTTGTCAGGCCCACAGATCACTGCTTCTGTTCCCCTCAGTAGGGAATCCCCTATCACCACTACACGCCTCCTCTTAGGTCTGGTCGGGATTCTTCTGTGAGCTGTCGGTTCCAAGGTCGCCTGGACATTCCCAGAGGACTGCCTTTGCTCCTCGTCTTCATATACCTGATCGACTGTAATGAGGGAGAGATCCTCAAATGGAGTCTGCTCTTCGTCTTCCATGCTAGGGGAAAGGACCTCAAAGCGATTGCGTATTTCTAAACAATCAGAGCGAACCCTGGGCCTCCTACTTCTTTGAGTCACGTTTCTCCATATATCTGGCTCCTGTGTTGGTGAACTAGCCACCTTCTCAGGGGAGTCCCCTGTCTCTTCCTTGGTGGAGACGGTGTGCTCTGTTGCTTCCAAGAAGAGTTCCAGCTCTCTAATTCTTTGGAGCGTAGCTACACGTTCCTCCAGTTGCTGGACTTTGTCTTTTAAGAGGGCAATCAACATGCAATTGCTGCAGGTAAAGCTGCCTGCAACCTTTGGCAAGATGGCAAACATTGCGCAGGAACCACAGGCGACTGCAGCTGTTCCCTCACCCTCCATCTTGGGAATGTGTCGTTGGGGGTGACTACAGTGGTCCTCTATCATAAAAAGTGTGGAATGTGTCGTTGGGGGTGGAATGTGTCGTTGAATGTGTCGTTGGGGGTGACTACAGTGGTCCTCTATCATAAAAAGTGTGGAGACAGGACAAATAAATCCCTCCCAAAAAACCTAGGTCTCCCCCAACAAATATTTGAGACTAGCTCCCCTAAATCTAAAATATGGATCAAACCTTTTTGTTCCTTCTTCAGCCGCTGCCCTAAAGCTCTGATAAGCTCCTCCCACAGCTAATCACCTACCTCAACAGAAGCCCTGCCCCCTCTGACCTTTGCCCAGAGAGAGCAGCTAAACAGCCACAAGAAACTCACACAGGAAAACCCTTTTTGTTCCTTCTTCAGCTGCTGCCCTAAAGCTCTGCCCTAAGTCTCAAAGCGGCTAACAATCTCCTTTCCCTTCCTCCCCCACAACAAACACTCTGTGAGGTGAGTGGGGCTGAGAGACTTCAAAGAAGTGTGACTAGCCCAAGGTCACCCAGCAGCTGCATGTGGAGGAGCGGAGACGCGAACCCGGTTCCCCAGATTACGAGTCTATCGCTCTTAACCACTACACCACACTGGCTCTCTGAAAGAGAAGTGGGCAGCCATGAGGCTTTAAAGAAAGTCACTCCAGATTGAACACTGTTGTGTCATTTCTGTGTGGCATTGTGCGAGACAGTTGGCCACACCCAATTCCCACCGCACTGTTTTGTTTTCACAAGGACATGTGAGTCCCTGGAATTGCAGTGTAGCCCTGGGGCAGACAAAGCCTCCCTTCCTCCTGCCCAAGAAATCACACTCTACCATAAGGTTGATGCAAGCTTTTTTGAAGTAACAAGGTTCTTCTCAAGTAGTATCATTTCGAAGCACAGGCCAGAAGACCAAGACCTGCTTAGCTTCAGAAGATGGCTATAATAATTATAATTTATTATTTGTACCCTGCCCATCTGGTTGGGTTTCCCCACCACTCTGGGCAGCTGCCAACAGATTGAAAACAGAATAAAACATCACACATTTAAAACTTCCCTAAACAGGGCTGCCTTCAGATGTCTTCTAAAAGTCAGATAGTTGTTTATTTCCTTGACATCTGATGGGAGGGCATTCCACAGGGCGGGCACCACTACCAAGAAGACCCTCTGCCTGGTTCCCTGCAACCTAACATCTCGCAGTGAAGGAAACACCAGAAAGCCCTTAGAGCTGGACCTCAGTGTCCGGACTGAACGATGGGGGTGGAGACACTCCTTTGGGTATACTGCGCCGAGGTCGTTTAGGGCTTTAAAGGTCAGCACCAACACCTTGAATTGTGCCTGGAAACGTACTGGGAACCAGTGTAGGTCTTTCAGGACCGGTGTTATATGGTCTTGGCAGCCACTCCCAGTCATCAGTCTAGCTGCCACATTCTGGATTAATTGTAGTTTCTGGGTCACCTTCAAAGGCAGCCCATGTAGAGCACATTGCAGTAGTCCAAGCAGGAGCTAACTAGAGCATGTACCACTAGTGAGACAGTCTGCAGGCAGGTAGGGTCTCAGCCTGCGTACCAGATACAGCTTCAGGTGTGCCCTTGGAATAGGGATCACCGCTAGGGTGCCTGCGAGTGCCCACAGAGGCCTTCCTTTGTGCCCATAGGCTCCTGCCACCACATAGGCTCCGCCGCGACCCGGAAGTAACGGAATGCATTACTTCCGGGTTTCACCGCATGCACAGACGCTCAAAATGACGTCATGCATGGAAGCAGCAAATCGCGACGTGCAGACGCGGGTTGCATTCATTTCAGGATGCGAACGGGGCTCTGGAACGGATCCCGTTCGTATCCAGAGATACCACTGTATACCAGTAAAAATGAGTTTTTCTGTAAAAAAAGAAAAGATTTAAGTAGTCTTACTGACTAGTGATATAAATCATAATTAAAATCGTGATTTAAATCAATTTGATTTAAATCAAATCCACCCTGATGTTGATGGATGTTTGGAAGGTAAATTTAAAAAATAATGGTTTGTTTATTTTCTGTATATGCGTTAATTCGTTGTATAGTGTTTGTCAAATCAATGCATATAATTTTAAAACATTCATGTGATTCTTATTTCTATGAATATCTACCTCAATAGATGACAATGTTTGCATATGATATGTGTGTTGCACATTCTGGTCTCGATTTGTTTTTGTTTTTTACTTTGAAAACAATAATAGTGAAAAGTTGCAGATAGGACTGTTAGGCAGCTGACATCAGACCACTGCTAGCTTTTCCAAATGATATGTATCAATACTGTCAATAGGCAAAACATACATGGCTTAGAAATGTCTTCTGTTTAGGTTGCAGACAAAAATCCTCACACAGTTTTCTTAGCCGTCCTGATAATCCAAACCTAGCCTATCACAAGCTAAAAGGCAAGAATCCTGGAGTTGTCTTCCTCTCAGGTTTTCTTTCAAATATGAATGGTAACAAGGCACTTGCACTCGAAGACTTCTGCAAATCAGTGGGCCACGCTTTTGTAAGGTATGTCTTAGAAGTATATGCTAATTAAATGCAAACACTGTTCAATAAATTACATTGATAAATTATTATTATTCTGAACCTTCTGTAAATGTTAATGAAATGTATTCCAGCTCTTTGTATTGTTAATGTTTTCCAGACTTTTCATTTTGTGGCCCTATTGAGTGTCATTTGTGCAAAGCTATGCTTTTATTAGGGGACGTGGTTGGCGCTGTGGGTAAAAGCCTCAGCGCCTAGGGCTTGCCGATTGAAAGGTCGGCGGTTCGAATCCCCGCGGCGGGGTGCGCTCCCGTTGTTCGGTCCCAGCGCCTGCCAACCTACCAGTTCGAAAGCACCCCCGGGTGCAAGTAGATAAATAGGGACCGCTTACTAGCAGGAAGGTAAACGGCGTTTCCGTGTGCGGCTCTGGCTCGCCAGATGCAGCTTGTCATGCTGGCCACGTGACCCGGAAGTGTCTCTGGACAGCGCTGGCCCCCGGCCTCTTGAGTGAGATGGGCGCACAACCCTAGAGTCTGTCAAGACTGGCCCGTACGGGCAGGGGTACCTTTACCTTTACCTTTATGCTTTTATTGAGATCCCTCTCTTGCCTAATTTCACAGGTTTGACTATAGAGGCTGTGGAAGTTCAGAAGGCGATGTTAAAGAATGTACGTTGGGAAAGTGGCGGAAGGATGTACTTTCGGTATTGGATGAACTCACACAAGGACCACAGGTTGACTATGTCTTTATTTTTAAACCTAGCATAAAAAATTCTCTCAGGTACAAGTACAGGGGTTGCTAGTGTGGTGTTCTGCTTCCTGAAATTAAGCTCCCCCCCTTTAAAAAAAAGGTTTCTACTGTAGCCAGTAGAATTGGTTGTGCAGGGTTTGTGGTGCCTAAATATCCCCACAGTTCCCAAAAGGTTGGCAGCCCCTGTGAATGTAGTCCAAGCCCTCTTTTGTGAATAAAAGTTGTTGAATATGTTTTCAGCCTGTGTAACGTTCAAAGAAGCAAACATATGCAACTAAACAGTTCCACTAGTGCAAGGAGTTTCCCCTCTCCCTGCATGCCTTATAAATATGCCCCAGGGAGAGGAAATCACCCCTACAACAGATTTAGGGAGCACCCAAGGAGAGAGCGGGAAGTTGCATGTCACAGCTAAAACTCCTTGCACTGGAGGAACTGCCTAACTCAAGGGTCAGCATACTTTTTTAGCAGGGGGCTGGTCCACTGTCCCTCAGACCTTGTGGGTGGCCGGACTATATTTTGGGGAAAAAATAAATGAACGTATTTCTATGCCCCACAAATAACCCAGAGATGCATTTTAAATAAAAGGACACATTCTACTCATGTAAAAACACGCTGATTCCCGGACCATCTGCGGGCTGGATTTAGAAGGCAATTGGGCCGGATCCAGCCCCTGGGCCTTAGTTTGCCTACCCATAGTCTAACTGGATATCGCTCACGTTCCCAGATTTGCACAATGCTGCTGGGAATTGGCTTCTGGTTGATAACATTTGCTGAATGATTGTTGTTCATGAGACATTTGAGTAAAACTGCTTTTTTAAAAAGTTCATTTGAGAGCATATTTAAGCATGTGTGTTACACAGCTCTAAAATAAAAATTTAAAATATGTTTAGAGCAATAGAGCCAACATATTTAAACCACCCAAGAACTATGCTAAGTAATAACAGCTGCAAATGTGCTTGCCATGTCAACTGGTGTTCATATTCTCTTGGACAGTCCTCATAGCACTTAAAGTGGCTTTATCTCCTGACCCTTTTTGTTTATAGTGGCGCAGTTGATTAATGAGCCCGCAATAAACTAACTAATACTGGTCTCACATTAAGATTTTAGTTGGTTCCAGTTTGGGCGGATGGTTGATGCTTCATGCTGCAATTGCTCGTCCAGAGAAGGTGGCTGCACTAGTTGGAGTAGCTGCAGCGGCAGACTATCTAGTATCAACTTATCAACAGCTTCCTGTAGAGGTAAGGAGGACTAATAAGGCTTTCCTGGTCGAAATAGGCACTCTTTTTTTTCATGTAGAAGTAGTGTTCTGTCTTAAGAGTACAGTGGTACCTCGGGTTACATATGCTTCAGGTTATACACTCCGCTAACCCAGAAATAGTGCTTCAGGTTAAGAACTTTGCTTCAGGATAAGAACAGAAATCGGGCTCCGGTGGTGCGGCAGCAGCAGGAGGCCCCATTAGCTAAAGTGGTGCTTCAGGTTAAGAACAGTTTCAGGTTAAGAACGGACCTCTGGAACAAATTAAGTACTTAACCCCAGGTACTACTGTACACAGTGTATGTCAGACAGAAAAAGCACCACAGAAAACAATTCTTCCAACTTTTGCAAGCCTCTTGAGGATTGTCAAATAAACACTTGACATTTTTAGGACGCCTTCGCTGATTTTTTAAGTAGCCCTCTTTTTTTGTACGTTTTACTTCACTACTTAAAATGCTTTTGTTATTATAGACAGCATGTGTGTGGAGAAATGTCACTTACATGACTGGGCAACAGCTGATTGGCCCTATGGCATTGACAGTACAGGGTCCTACAGGGTTCCATCGTGTCCCCCAGGCTCTTAAAGAAGTGTTCATTGGGGCAGAGCTTCAGCAGTAGCCTCCTGGCAGGCGCATCACTGCCACTTTCTGTGACGGTGGATTTGACAGTGAGGTTGGGGTTCACAGGTATTGTCAACAGCAACGTTAGATTGGCTCTGCCGGTGTGTTTGTGTTGCCACAACCTTAGCATCAGCGATGCTGTTTCTAGAAGGTCTATTGCTGAGGCTTCACCCACTGAGCAAGGCTCTCCTAAGCTATTTAACATCTCTTTAAAGCTGATGAATAACATTATCTAAACTCTGTCTAAGAATCTGGGTTTGTTCACTTTCCAACTGTTGCAGATTGTAACTTGTTAACTTTCCCAACTAGATCACAGTGGGAATTATTAAGAATAGATCTGGTCCTTTGCACCTTCACTTGAATATTCTGCTTTGAGTTTTATTTCTTCTGCTGGTGCTTGGTGTGACAAGTCCTGAAAATGGTTTTTGGATGTATTGATAACTAAAGAATCTTCATAGTGCATTGACAGCAGAATCAAGCTTTGTCCTTCCTAGTTTTTTGTAGCCCTTTTTCTTAACCGGTACATAACAGCAGGTTGAGCTTGTAACAATTATTTACTTGATAAAAGCACTACTTTACATGTGGCCTATCCCAGCTGTGAAAAAGATTTGTTTTGAACTTCCTCTCCTACTCTTGGTGTTCCTTTGATGATGCAGGTCCATAATTATGTGATGGTGAGGTGCTGATATCAGTTAACACTTGGAGAAACTCACCTTAGGATGGAGAGTGACTTTCAGGTCCTGCCTTGTGAGTTTAGTTTGTAATAGATATATATAGATAGATATATGTTTTTACTTCCTAGCTAAAAAAGGAAATTGAAGAAAAAGGTGAATGGAAGGTGCCAACCAAGCACAACGAAGAAGGGGTTTATTCTGTGCCATATGGACTCATCCAGGAAGCAGAAAATCACTGTGTGTTAACTAGCCCTCTTCCCATAAAATGTCCTGTGAGGCTTATCCATGGCATAAAAGATGAGGATGTCCCGTGGGAGACTTCTATGAAGATTGCAGAACGTGTTGTTAGCACAGATGTGGATATTATTCTCCGCAAAGCTGGTCACCATCGGATGAAAGAGAAGGAAGATATCAAACTTATCATATACACAGTGGAAGACTTAATTGAGGAGCTCAGCACTTAGCATGAATTCCCTAATGAGAGAAGCAGAGGAAGTTTACATGGGCTCTGTTGCTCAGTCGGGGCAGCAGGACATTTCAGAGGGTAACTGGTCAGCTAGATGCACTTGGAGCCCTACCATGGTTTCCTTGCTTAGTTTTCCTCTCTTTTTTGTAAATATTCTTAACGATGCATTTGCACAAATAATAATGTGAAGAAAATGCTGCTGTTTAAACCCTTCTGCTCAATGCAAATCACCACTGACCCTTTTATGCAACATACATTTCCTATATTTTTGTACCCAGGTATTTTTGTGCCAATGATTACTACTTGCAGTACGGTGTGACTTTTTCACCCTTTTGTACACCTTAAAAATAAATATGCATTGTAAAGTTTTCCCACTTGAGTTGTGAAATATAACTTGACAAGTCAAACTTTCTAGAAATGTACCTGAAATATATGTGCAATGTTTGTTATTTCTAGCATGAATGAATGCACCTGGTTTTCATAGTGTAGAGAGAATGTAAGGAGAAAGCATGCTTAATATTGAATTATTTAAAATGGATTTCAATTATTGATGTACTTCCTATAAAGGAGTTACATGCCACTGGAACTGTTTCTTATTATTTTTCAACTCAGTCACCAAAGGAAAAGCAAAAACAATTATCTTTCCACCAAAGAAGGAACATGTGTTGGGGGAATTTCACGTTCAGAAGCCTAAACACAACCGGAAATTACAGTGAATGGGGCTTGATTCCAGCTGTGTGTAGTGCCTAGTATTTAAGTGTGCTTTACATGTAAACAAGTCAAAGATTTCTGTTCCTTTTTGATAAACTTCCGTGGGTAGTCTGCCAAAGAAGATCAGATTTGTAATGTGGACTTTTGTGTAATTTCACAAGCCTGATCTTGTGGTTGTCAATGCTTCCATTTGCCAGTGGTGAGGATCGTCAGGCTTTCCAAAACAGAAGACCTAGTTTGCAAATAAAATTCTGTTATAGGAATTGCTCTGTGCTAGTTATAAGATTGTTACTAGAGAATACTGTTAGACATGTAGTCTTGAGGAAGCCATTCACCATTGAATCCTAAGGTTAACATTTCTCACAGTTCTTGGTTTTTGACTACACAACGTATCCTTTCTTAGGTGAGGGGAAACAGGTCTTTTATCATTCATTTCTAATAATTTTTTTATATGTAAAGTTCATTATAATATTAAAAGATTTATACTTGAAGCCACATTTCTGCAGCAGAAAGGCAGTATTGCTAGATCATGCAACTAAAGGTTCAAATGTGGGATGACCTATTCTGTTGTAATTCTTGGTTATAATTGAAAACCTTAACAGTTGGTTCATGTTGCTGGTTATTGCAGGTAGAATTGCCCTGACTGTATGGCATTTCTTCAAAGGATATGCTCCCTGTGCACACAGAGGGCCGCTTTACTGGATTTTACCAGTGTGTGAAATGCAGAAAAGTAAAACTTTTCCTGAATAAGTTCTAAATTATGGTGTGGTTTGTTTTGCAGCATTTAACCAGATCTTACATTAAGTTCTTACATGTGGAAACCCTACCATCTCAGAAGGTGCTATTCCCGCTGAGACTCTTCAGCAATTGGAGTTCAGTGGTACACCTTAAAGATTCGCAGCACAGCATTTCACATCTCTAGGGAGGAGGATGCCTTTAATTGCAAGGTTGCAAACGTAGTTTTTCAACTTGAGAATGTGATGCTACATGTCAACACAAGCCTGGGTGACCTGAGTTTGAACCTGTCGAATAACCATAAGCATAAGTTTGTAGTGCGCCTGTAGTTTCCTGGTTGACATTGTACCTTCCTGTAATCAAGAATATTGCATAAATACATCTGAGGACATTTATTATTATTATTTCTGAGTACTTGATATGAAAACTGTCGCTGATAATTTCTACATTGGGCTACAGCCAGTTAATACTTCTGAGGTACAAGAAAAAGCCTTTTATCATAGCCCTTTATGCAATTGAAGAGTTGCCTTTTTCAATTTGGGTAGATTTAGTATCAGCTCTTGGTCTCTTCTATTTTGCTGTTGTGTATCTCCACCCCTACTTGTGCTGGTGAGAGGTTGGAGCATAGAGAATGGTCCCATACTATAGAAAGTCAATGATAAAACAGTTATCTCAAATTTGTACTAAAAGAAATGCCATATATATGGAAGTGCATGTGTAGTAGAAACTTGTTTTAGGTGCTAGAAATTAATCCACCGAATGGACTTTGAAAGGAATTAAATGACGCTGCCTAAACTATAACCTGAATTGAACTGTAGTGACAAAAAGTAGCTCTTCGTTAACATTCTTATGCAATTATTCAATACGTTTAATAATAAAAAAGAGATGCTGTTCTGAAGTGTGTTTTTATACAATATATGACACTATCCAACAAGACAATTGAATGGCTTATCTATAAAGAGTTTTGAATGGGATGTTTTACTCCTCAAGCAGCTAAACCACTGCAGGACTTTGTCCTCTGAATTTCTTTCCTCCAAGACTTACAACATGCTTACAATTTTCATAGTAGCTTTTCTGGATTAGTCGAATAGCCATGCTAAAATTTACTCTGGTGCAGAGTGTAAAGGAGTGGAATGCCCTTCATAGTGTATATGTAATGCTCATGACTGGACCATTGAACCAATAGTAAGAAAAAGGTCAGCTGATCACTTACTACGGGCCTGGAGTATGGCTGTGCTTTTCATACTTCTCTTGGAAGCAAGTTCAGTGGCAAACTGAGGCAGCACTGGTTGCTTATTCCACTATAAAATGTTACTGAGTAACCAAATCACCATGCTCCAAAGGTGTAGACCTAATCTTATCCTCCTGATAGTATGTTGATTTTTGCTTGCCTATATATCAGTTCCTTCAGGAAATTCAGATCCTAAAGTGGTTTAGATTCTATATGCAGATTATCAGCAATAGTTCTTCCCTGCAGCTTTATAATCCGAACGACTACAGCAGGGGAAGGGGAGAGGACAGTGAAGCAAAATTGGACAATTTTTTTTCATAAAACTACATAAATGTTTATTGAAAGGTGCAAGAGACAATTCTAGGAGTGAAGAAACCAGCTGGCATTTCATCCCATCAAATATGAGAGTGGACATGGTCAAAGCTTACTGCAGTCAATAACTGCTGAATATATTCTTTTCTTCATTAGAAATAAAGCTTGAAATTAAAAATGCATTTTGAATTAACATGACTTTTAAGAATCCTTGTGTAATGATCCCAGTGTTGTGCAGTAGCTAAAAAGGTGATACTTACCATCTATGAGTCAGTTTTTGGAGGAAGCTGCTACCTCACAATCATATCCTTATATAAACTAGTGGCATAATACTAGCTTGCTTTACTTTGTATTAGTGAGAGAGGAATGTGAGATCCTTGTTGGACTTCATCAAAGGCCTATTGAATTCAGCATCCTTTTCTCTACTGTGGCCAACCAGTTGCCTGAGAAATGCACATAAGCAGGAAATGAGGGCAATGTATATGGAGCATGTAAAAGCTGTTGTGTAAACCCAATTATTACAGCCTTTTGACCCAGGATCAGACATGCTGTGAAACAGTAGTTTCAAGAAGCAGAAGCAAAAAGGAGTGTGATGCCTTCCTTTCAGTCATTAAAACAGCTGGAATGAAACTGATGCTGTTTTGACCTCACCTCAGATGTCATCATGTCCAAAGCTATAGTTCCTTCTGCTGTGTGATTTGAAAAATTGGCCATTACTGTCTTGTTTTAGGACATCTGTACTTAAAATAGAAATGAATTATCTGTTTGAAAAAAAAATTCTACATCTGAGCAAAGGAAGATGACTTTAAGGGCAGACATTTCTCACAACTGCAGTGTTAAATTTCTTTTAACATTCATGGTCAATAAAGACAATCCTGTTCTAATCGCCAGGTTTCAATTAATTTGAAATGCCTCTTGCTGTGACAGGTTTGATTAGGTTTGTAGTACTAAAACTCTTCATTATTGTCCCCCCCCTACAGATTTGTCTGGGAAATAAAACAGCCCCAGCTGTCATGAACGAAATAAGCTGGGAACGTGTATGGGGAAATGGGTGGAATTTGATTTGAACAGTTAGAAGGCTGATTGAGATGCAATGTATATTTCATAGATGCTCAGCTCAGTTTCTATATTCTGCCGCAACCATTGTACTTCTTTTATTGTTTTAAAATTTGGAGTTTAAGAGTTCTTATTTTAAACATAGTATTCTCATATTGATGATACCAAACTCAGTGGAGTAGCCACTGCTGCTGGAGACAGAAACAGGATTCAGGTTGACCCAAACAGATTGGAGAACTGTGCCAAAACTAACAAAATGAATTTCAGTAGTGACAAATGAAAGGTTTTACACTTAGGTAGGACACCTGGCTTTCCAGTAGTACATATGAAAAGGATCTAGTGATCTTAAGGTAAAGGTAAAGGAAACCCTGCCCGTACGGGCCAGTCTTGACAGACTCTAGAGTTGTGCGCCCATCTCACTCAAGAGGCCGGGGGCCAGCGCTGTCCGGAGACACTTCCGGGTCACGTGGCCAGCGTGACATCGCTGCTCTGGCGAGCCAGAGCCGCACATGGAACACCGTTTACCTTCCCGCTAGTAAGCGGTCCCTATTTATCTACTTGCACCCGGGGGTGCTTTCGAACTGCTAGGTTGGCAGGTGCTGGGACCGAACAACGGGAGCGCACCCCGCCGCGGGGATTCGAACCACCGACCTTTTGATCGGCAAGCCCTAGGCGCTGAGGCTTTTACCCACAGCGCCACCCGCGTCCCTAAAAATTACAATTGTGATCTTAGTAGACCACAAACTAATGATGCAGCAGCAAAAAAAGAAGCCAATGCTATTCTAGGCTGTATCAGCCTAGTTTCCCAATCAAGAAATTTTGATGGACTGAGCTGGTTTTGTTCTGCTGTTAACATGCTGCCAAAGCTTCCAGTGACACTTATGGGGCATTTGGTTTTTTGGTGTGTGTGTGTGGTGTTTGAGAATGTTAGTATTTTATATGAATTTCATTGGTATAATGTACATACACTTATGCTTTTATACGTAAATTGCTTGAAGACCATGGAAGGTAACAAGCAACTAATAAATCTAAGAAATAAATCTAGGTGCCTGATGAAATCAGTCATGCAGATATTCATAGCTTTGTCTGGTGGCTGAGAGTTCTGCACACGTGAGGGGCATCTGGGCTCCGTCTTTGTTCTTCAACGGCTGTCTGCTGTACCATATGGCAACCCCTTTCTGAAACTGAGGAGACTTGCAAAAGCAGTTCATGATTGGGCATGGGTGTGCCTGCTGTTCAAAGAAACAATGGCAGTCAAAAAGCCTTAAAACCATACCTAGGCCACAGGGTGTATTTAATGGGGCTCTATGGAGCAAAACCCGTATTTTGAATTTACTGTGTTGGTTTTAGCGGAGTGTGAAGCAGTAACATTTTTCATTTCCCTTGATTTACACATCCAAGTCCCCACTGGCTTTTTCTCTTTAAGATACTAGATCACTGTAATGCCTGCTCAGTTTCCAAGGGAATCAGGAGGAATCACCAGCTGGACCACATGGCCTCTTACCATGTCCTTTGGAAGACTGGGGACAAGGCTGGTTGCTGACTCATGGTACCACAATCAATATGGGGAAATAGGTGGCGTTCTTTGTTTTTCAGGCATCAGCTTGCAACTGTCTCGTTTTCTTGTCTATGCAGCTTTATGCTGTAGCAGCTTATATAATCAGGTGGCCCTTGTGAATTTGAAACCAATACATTCAGGGTTCAAGTGTGCCAGTTTACTTCTGTGTATATTGGCCATGTGTATTTATTAGTGCCATTTTCCACCATATTTTCTCCTACATTTTAAGATGTTCCTCCCCCCCCCAAAAAAGGAGTAAAATATTTATCATTTCAAAAGCCGGGTGTTTTTTGTTTGTTTTAACTCACCCTAACCTTAGGAATTGTACAACTGCCATGCATAGCACCTCCTGGGCGGTGTGTGTGTGTGTGTGTGTGTGTGTGTGTGTGTTCTCAGATCTTGACCTGCTTCCTGCCCTGTAATTTCTATGCTAATTCTGCCTACATAATTTCCTGTGACCTGGTGACATTCACTATACCATCCTGCCTTTGTATTAAAGAAGACACAGTTCTTGAAAGTGCATGTGATATCATCAATGGGTTTCAAAGATGCATATTTGACTGTGGGCACTAAGATGTCTGAACAATCCTTCTGGTCTTACTGAAAAACTCTTGACATGAACGGCTTGTCTGAAGCCCAATTTTTCAATAAAACTATATTGGACTATATTGCATCTGTTGTTTGCGCCGTCTCCATCTGTCTACTAAGCAGAAAATAGTGCCCATTGTGTACCCATGGGAACAGTTTTCAATGGCTGATTTTGATTATGCACTGCATAAGGAACGAGTGACTATGAAATAAGCACATGCTAACTGTAAAACATACCGTGCTTATCTACATTAGAGTACTGTTTTTTGTGTGCATTGCCAGAATCGTTTAATTTTTATTCAAGTATGCCAGAATTCAGAATTCTTCTTTTCTTCCCCTGTCACCAATATACAGCCACTTTTATAAAAGTCACGTTCTGTTTCCTTCTTCTTTTTTAAAGTACACATTCAGTATGTCTGGCCTTGGGAGGAAAAGAAAGTAGCATTTCAGCTTGGAACATTGATTTGCAGAGGCTCCACACTCCACTTAGCATCAGCACTGGTTAAAGAACTACAAATCTCATCCTCCCTGGCTGTTGGCCCTGCTTCCTGCAGCTGCCTGGAGTTAATAATTCAGAACTTTTGGAGGGCCAAAGGTCCTCCACACGTGCTATGGAGCCCTCCCCACCAAGAGAGAGAGTGCTCTTTCCTTGAACATAGGAAACTGTCTTACACTGAGTCTGACCACTGGTCCATCTAGCTCAGTGTTCTCTACATGGAGAGCAAGTGGCTCTCTAGCGTTTTAGGCCCTACCTGGACATGGCAAGGATTGAACTCGGGACTTATTGCATGCAAGGAACTCTACCACTGAGGCGTGGACCTTCCAAATGCTTATAGTAAGTATATTTATTTATCTATTAAATTTGTATACCACCCTTCACCCAAAGATCACAGGGCAGTTCACAACATAAAAGATGGCTATTCATTTGTTGACTACAATCTTTACAGTATGACTCATCCTGTTGGAAGTGGATCCGAAGTGATAAAGAACAAATAACCTTCCACTGCCATGTTATATAGAGTTGTATGAATTAATTCAAAGGAAATGCAGTGCATTAAAATCCCTTTTGTATTACAGGGATACTAGAATAATAGACCCTCTTCATAGCTTTCTTTTCCAGAACAAAAAAATTGAATTTTATCAGTATATGCAA